TCTGATCTATTCTAGTCATGAACAAGAGTTTTCACTCAACTATTGATATATTGAGCTACTTAAAAACACGGAAATGTATGAAATGTATCATAAAGATGCAAACAGGTTATGCAAATATGCCCCTATACAGGCTGTGCTATACGAAAACAAGCGGTGTGGATATCATGTGCGCAAGGTGCGGATATTAACGGTCATTTTTGAATTTGAATTTGTGATATTTCATAAACTAAGGCATGTTGGGTACTCAATTATAGTCATCCATTTATAGAGGGTACCTAATAAAGGAGAAATTTTGTCTGAAGTTGTATTCTTCATTTTTTTAATGACGCGCTATGCTATGCTATGACGTGTCGCAAAAAGCTCGCGCACGCATTGTTACACATTTTGTGGCGTAATCCAGAGGATCCTCGCTTTTAACATGATAGAATGTGACGTTTTTGAGAAAAATGTACACACATGAAAATCCTTTCGTCCTCCACATTTACTCCTATATCTCAAAATATTTTAGACGAATAACTCTGATATCATATATATATTGTTAATGGGCTAGGAGCATCATAAAACACGAATCAATTGATATTTTAGGTGAAATAAATATACGTGTTGCTGTGCTTGAAAATAGGCGAATGGCGTAAATTAGCCCTATTTTAATGAATTTTGAAAACCTTTCGTCCTCCACTTTTCCACATACAACAGAAAACACATACTTTTGTGAACAAAATCAACTATTTATTAATAAACTAGAGTTTAGGAGCAAAAGAATCATATATGATTTATTAAAAATTGATCTCGTATTTTTTGTTTAATGTACACCTGGAAAGTTGAAGGTACCAAAAAATGAGCAAAAAAGGTCGCTGTCAACAGATTCTAAAACAATGTACACTTCTTCATCCTCTCTAAAATCGAATACGGCTCTTGAATCTATGGTTCGGCGTCGCAAGGTGCTCTGGAACAACTAGACAAACTCCATTACAGAGCATCCCTGATAGTTTCCGGGGCGATTTATGGAACGTGCAAGCAAAAATTATATAAATGTTTAAACTGGAAAACCCTAGCGGAGAGAAGAGAAGAAAAACAAAGTATTCACATGTTCAAAGTCCGATCAAATTTGACCCCCTCTTATGTAGTCTCTATATATGAAAAACTGTCCAATCCTGGTGTCGAAAGGGAGCTCCGCTCCAGAAGAGAATATGTTTTACCAGTGAGAGCGTCTGTGAAATACCTAAATTCACCAGCCATAAAGCCTATCACCATTTGGAAAAATCTTTCAACTGAAATAAAAACATCGCCAACCCTAGCAATCTTCAAGAAAAACTATAATAAGAAATATACATTTCATAAAAAGAATATTTTAACAAAAAATCTTAATTTGAAAAGGTCTTCTGAAACTAAACTTAATAAAATAAGAAGCGACCTTGCCCTTAAAAGTGACTTTTTTAGACATAATTTCAACAACATCATAGATCCTTCTTGCCCCCGCGGCCACCGAAATCAAGATAAGATTCATCTTTTACTCGACTGCCCTCTAACCGCCATACATAGAAATGATTACATACAGAACATCCTAAAGTTAGACAATCTTGATATTATGTGCTATTTTGGAAAAACCAGAAAGCAAAAAATAGAATTTATACTTTATGGAGATGAAAATTTAAATAGTGAACTGAATACAAAATGCCTTCAACTATCTTCAAATTATATCGATAACATCTTAGAATGACCATCCTCCTCATTTCACATCATCTCTCATTAACACTCATATATATCATCATGGGCAAGACCTGGTGGACGACCGTCTGTCCGTTGCAATCCTACACACTCCAGTGATTTATTATATGTTTTTAACTTTCTAGAGGGGGGCCAATAATGCTATGTATAGCCTCGGCCCCTCACAATCTATGTAAATAATTATGTTGAATATTATAGAAATAAATAACAATAACCTATAAAAAAAAATTCTATTTTTCAGACTCTATGACGTCACAATATGGGACGCTTACTAAAATTCATCCTTTGAAATAAACCTTCCATCTACCTTTATCAAGACGAAAAATAAGTATAATAGTCATATATTGTTTGAGTTATGAGCGTTTAAAGACGAAAAATAATTCAAAATGTAACGTGTCAACATGGGATATTTGCCAGATGTTTTGGTAAAAAACTCTTTTTTAAAAACGAACGCGCAAAAAATGTGAACGGAGTGTAGTTGATCTAAAATCTTCATCGAAACAGCTTTAAAATGATATATAACTTTAATAAGAATATTATCTTATAATCCGGGGAATCAAAGTTACATTCACGCGATACCCTTAAAAAACAAATGCGCCACCTTTTTGCGACACGTCTATGCTATGCTACGCTACGCTATGTTATGTTCCAATAGTAAGATTAAAGACATACATTGTCAAGTGGATGACACCCCATTAGGCAAGTATAGATGAGTATGCTATGGTTAAGTGAAAATTTGGGTACTCAATTATACTTTAGAACCAGAAAAATAATACATATTTAACCAAGAGAAATCATGATCTTCTATCTAATTGAAGTCAGAAAGATCTGATGAGAATCAGTATTACCATACCGTTTGAATATTCATTTAGCTTTCTCACTATAATTAAAAACGCTGTACTACAGTATTCAAAAATGGTAAAATGAATGAATGCCGTTACAACAGATGTTTCATTCAAAAGAAACAGGACTATCTACACGGTGTTATAGCATGACGGTTACGACACCTCTGAAAACGAGATTAGACGACTACGATCACTGATTTATCCAATAAAATGGCCGCGATGGAACAGAAAACTAAGGTTGGTGCATTATTTTCTTCTACTGTGTATCAATGAAAGGATGACCGATTTTTGTAGGCATCGCATTCGGTGATGCATTTAGTAATGTATATTTTGAATGTATTCTTTGCAAATTGATGCCCGGGGATAACATGAAATAAGCGAAAAACTTGAATTTGAAATTCAAAACTACACAAAATGTAGTAATTTGTTTATTTTTGTCGTTAGGGCATGGTCTACATTGCCTAACGACCCCGGGGTATATAGATGTAACCTACATAGTACATACGATCATAAAAAGCCAATTGAGCATTGGCAACCACCTAATGTTCTACTTAAGCCATAATATTGTGTTTTTAATTTGCGGTTGCGCAAAAACTTGATTGGCGGTTACGCGAACCTCAGTCAAATATGTATCCAAGATTCATTGTTATTAATTTTGTCATATTCATCAGTACTTGATGGTAATTCTTCTTTTGCCTCTTCACTGCTATCTTTTTGACTTAAAATTGGTTTCATAAATAAAGCAAGACACAATTTTTTCCTTGCCCTATAGAGGCTCAAACAAGAGCGTCATTTGCGAGTCCTGAAAACAACAAATATAAGCAATTCAATATTCTAATTCTTACCCATTATAACAATTACATGGAAAGAGGCTATCAGAACTAGCAACCTTACATGCACGTAACCGTCCGCTAAATATCAGTACATGTACATCAAATACAATACGTTACCGTCCATAGAATTTATACGTAGTCGTCTAACGACATTGCGTTTGAAACCTTATTATTTGCAGTATGACCACGTTCCTGTTCTGGATTTGTCATTTTATGGCTTGTTTATACACAGTTTACTTACTGTTAATAGTTTGAGTGGCTCTGAGGCACATATACTGAGAAATCACGAGAATGGACTAAAAAGTATGAACTTAAACATCTCAGTCGGTAAGTTTACAGCTTATATTCCGCTTCTAGCAAACCACCTGGCAGATATGACCCAGTCTTTATAACCATCCATATATGCGTCACCGAATGGAACTAGTTGAAAAGGAAATCTCATCTGTGAATCTTGCCTACAGGCGAGAAAGAGGACATGCTGTCTTTCCCATCCGCCATTTTTTGTTATCGTTACCGCAAAAATTTGCAAATCGCCTTGGCGTAGCCGTCATGCTATAACACCGTGATCTAGTGGTCAGCCAAGTAAAACCAATATTCATAAAACTAATGAAATGTCAGGATGATATTGATTTATTGCTCATGCTATTTTTAAAAATGAATTTTATGGTGGTTTCAGGAGTATCATAATAAACCATGACATCTTAATTCTTCTCAGTCATTGATTCTAGGTTAGATTTGGTGAAGCCCAAGTCAAGATTTGAGGTATTTGAAATCTCGTCTCAGCTTATGTTTTATCTATGGCCCGGGTAATTAAACTTGAGGAGAAACGCACTTACATGTGCTATCTGAAACCATAATGTATAGACTGTAAAATATATTACAGACATATTAAGCTTATTTTACAGTCTGTACATTATGGTTTCAGGACTGTAAAATGTATTTTACAGTCTGTACATTGGTTACAGATAGTAAGCTTACACTATATAGTGTTTCTGCTCAGTTGACCATATACCATGTATATGGTCGACAATATATACCATGTATATGGTCAACTGAGCAGAAACACTATATAGTGTACTATCTGTAACCTTAATGTACAGACTGTAAAATACATTTTACAGTCCTGAAAAAAGATATAAGTGGAATCCCTTTATAGAAGCTTTGAACTGAATTTACACTTTTTAATGCTGAAATTGATACTAGTTTAACCATACATTTAAAAAATAGGTATGTCAATTAAGAAGATAAGCCAAATATTGACCTGATAGTTCAGAAAAAATAAATAATTTCTAATTTTCTCTCTAAAGTCCTTGTTGCCCCTTTAATTCACTTTTCACTACTATGATCTACATGTAGTAAGGGCTTCCCCTACATAACATAACATGTACTAACATAATCTATGATGATCTCAGATGTACATGATATAGTTGTATATAGGCTATTCGATTCACTGTCATATGATATGTCTCGAGATGTTGTATTTAGCTAATTGTATAGCCTAAGCTGAAGCCTATCAGTGCAGAGTTTAGTGAAACGAATGCAAAGGTTTAAGGGCAGTAACTTACTCGAGTCTCTAGCCAATAATTGTCTAGAGGTGATTTCATCTGGAATACTGTGAACTTCATTTGAAAAAAACTGGCCGCCGTGTCATAAATTTATTGAATATTTTAAAAATCGCCAGATAAATAAATCATTAATTAAAACGGAACCATACGCCTCCGTTCGAGCCCCGTGCCTTAGAGATTTCCCTAAAAGTGACGTCATCTTGGAAAATACCAACATGGAAGCCGAATCTTCACGTGTGGAATTTGTAGAAGAAAACGGGATAAAAGTACGAGTAGAACACAATCATGATAAACCTGGCAAGTGCAAAACATTCTTCAACCCCAAAATGAAAATTTGTAGGTAAGTTGCTGAATGGAATTCATGAATTAACCCTACAATCGTAGATTCGAAAAATGCTCTCTTCAAAAATTTAGTGATTTGTGATTTCAATTTTCAGATCATCGAGTCCATAGGAATTAAAGGAGAAGTAGTAGTAAGCTCAATATAGAAACTTAAACTCAATATAGAAAGTCACTATGGGTTTCTATATTGAGCTTACTACTACTTTTCCCTTGGCCCCACAGGTAGACTGTATCCTTCGTCTAAATAAATATTCAGACTGTAAGTCACCTATTGTAAAATGTGGTGTTGTATAAATGTTACAAATAAGTTTGTTTAATGATAGAATGATTACCTTATAAAGAACTCACAATATTATTTTTTCGTATATTGTCCTCTTACTGAAGATATTCATAAAATGTACAGACGCTTCTTGTAGCGAAGCCATTGATTAGGTCAAGCCATTTTGGCAATGCCAATTCTCACGATAAACGAGATTTAGCCAGTGACGTCAGTCTATTTGTAAACAAATAACACGTGGAGCGGGAGCAACATTACGGAAGCGTATTGCTAAATTCCATTTGTGCGGGAATTTATTAGATCTAGTCATTTATTATCATTATCCCGATTAATTTTCTTCATTTATAGTAAATAGAGCGGAAATATTCATGAAGAAGGCCGAGGTAGTCTAATCAAGTGGTCATGTGTTGTCAAAGTTCAAAATTTGCATATCTCGTTTGGATCTCGAGAACTCAAACGTCCTTGACATTGATTTCGCGATCTACTTATGAACACATCCTGAAGTTTCGGTGAGTCTGAACATTTCATTATTTTATATCCACTTGTACCCGCCTTATACAAATATTTTTGCTTCTAGTTTAAGATGAACATCTCTTCAACATATTCACCAATTTTCAAGGTGAACATTCTTATAATAAACGAGAAATTAATGTGCAAAAAATATCACCGCGATTTCCACAGGAAATATATCAATCATAACAGACCGAATATTATATTCGGTCTGTTGGATACATACTAGCCCCACAGGGACCAGTATCGCCACCTTTTAGCAGTCGGATTAGAACGATCTAAAGCCCTTTTATGTATTTTAAAGGGCTTTAGATCGTTCTAATCCGACTGCTAAAAGGTGGCGATACTGGTGCCTGTGCTTGGCCCATGATCGAGTCGTATATTTCTTACTCGAGTCTATAGAGAAGGCTTTGTAAATTTCATATGCTCCATTTTGTTTAATCCTTTGATCTGATTGGTTACCTTAAAAAACAATATTGCTGACAAGGAAGTAAAAAGTAATATGAAATTGATATCTTAAAAATGTGAAATATCTGCACAGCTCTTAATTTAATCACGAATATATCAGGCAAAAGTGTAACTGCACACAATGCTTGCATATTTTGAAATTTAACTATCGCATACATTGTCTACAAAGTATTAGATTGACGTCATCAAAACAGAAGTTTACTCCAATTTGAGTGGCAATTTTCTCAAAAACCGGAGAAAACCGGAGCTTGATCTCTTACAAAACCACATTTTAGAGTGTGTTTATTCAGACAAATGTGTAAAATTAAAGGTTTATGAAGGTTCAAGACTCAAAATAAGCAGGTAAAGTATCCCTCCTCGCGACTTTCTTGAAGAATAGACAGCCTGTGAAAAGATCGAAAATACTTCCATCTTCAATCATTTAAACTTATCCCGCCATTTGCTTACGATGTTGTGCCTCAAAAGCCAAGAAATTCAGATCCGATTATGATAAATAACCTATCCTATTTCCATGTTAAAAATGTGGGGTGACACCGTAATTGAAACACAAGAACACAAATGTGTACAAAATGTCCCTACCTATGGGTGATCCCGTCAAATGGTTATCCTAAAAATGAGTAGACAAGACTTAACCAAAACAATTTGAGGATGGAAAATCCAAAATGGCCACCTTGAAATTTACCCAGAATGCCAAAAAATTAGTCAGTTCTACAATCATTTTCATACTAAGAACCACCCCTGAAAATTTGAAATTGATCCGTCACACAGTTAACCAGAAAACATGTAAACAAGACTTTACAGACAAGATTTTAGGACAGAAAATTCCAACATTGATGCAGAATGCCAAAAAACTAATCTGTTCTAGATTTTCATACTTAGAATCATCCCTGAAAATTTGAAATTGATCTACCTAATGGTTCACCTGGAAATGCGTAGCCAAGACTTTACAGACAAGATTTACGGACAGAAAATCCAAAATAGCTGCCTTGACATTTACCCAGAATTCCCAAAAACTAATCAGTTCTAGATTTTCATACTAAGAATCATCCCTGAAAATTTGATATTGATCCACCAAACAGTTCACCTAAAAACGCGCAGACAAGACTTTACGGGCAAGATTTTAAGACAGAAAATCCAAAATGGCTGCCTTGACATTTATCCAGAATGCCAAAAAACTAATCAGGTCTAGATTTTCATACTAAGAATCATCCCTGAAATTTTGAAATTGATCTACCAAACTGTTGACCTGGAAATGCGCAGACAAGATTTTAGGACAGAAAATCTAAAATGGCTGTCTTGACATTTACCCAGAATGTCAAAAAAATTAATCAGATCTAGATTTTCATACTTAGAATCATCCCTGAAAATTTAAAATTGATCTACCAAAGGGTTCACCTAAAAACGCGTAGACAAGACTTTACGGGCAAGATTTTAAGACGGTAAATCCAAAATGGCTGTCTTGAGACATTTATCCAGAATGCCCAAAAACTAATCAGATCTAGATTTTCATACTAATAATCATCCCTGAAAATTTGAAATGGCACTTTTGGTAGAAGGCGGCCATTTTTCAAGATGGGACGCTGTGATTTTCTATTTCTGAGTCCATCAATATTTTTTTGCATTTTAGTAATCACCCTTGGTATACGCAGCTAACGAAAATTGACCGGTACGGGTCAAAAGCTGGACCGGTACGGGTTAACGGTTTTATTTGAATTTAAAACAGTCATAACTTGCTCAATATTGACTTCCTCGTGTCTAATTTGAAATATATGATGCCTCCCGATGCTTTTAAGTACCCCAATTTTTTACAGATTTTAAAACGGACCAAAACTCTCTAAATGCGCATTTATGCTCTTTTCTCTCGAGAACGACTGTCTTATTTTCACGATAACTTTTATTTAGTACTTCTAACATAAAAGTTCTATTTTTCCCCATCAAGGTATGATGTAAATGACATGCTGTTAACATCTTGTGAGTTTCAATAACGCGCGTTTGATTTTATAAAAAATGCCAAACTTTGTGACAAAGAATTTCTATAGCTATTGCCCCGAACCGGTCCGTCTTCTCGTTGCAAGCTATTGCCCCAAACCGGTCCGTCTTCTCACTGCAAGCAGGAGGAAATTCTTTGTCACAAAGTTTGGCATTTTTTATAAAATCAAACGCGCGTCATGGAAACTCACAAGATGTAAATAGCATGTCATTTACATCATACCTTGATGGGGAAAAATAGATCTTATATGTTAGAAGTACTAAATAAAAGTTATCGTGAAAATGAGACAGTCGTTCTCGAGAGAAAAGAGCATAAATGCGCATTTAGAGAGTTTTGGTCCGTTTAAAAATCTGTAAAAAATTGGGGTACTTGAAAGCATCGGGAGGTATCAGGAGGTATCGGGAGGTATCAAGATTTTAAGACAGAAAATCCAAAATGGCTGCCTTGACATTTATCCAGAATGCCAAAAAACTAATCAGGTCTAGATTTTCATACTAAGAATCATCCCTGAAATTTTGAAATTGATCTACCAAACTGTTGACCTGGAAATGCGCAGACAAGATTTTAGGACAGAAAATCTAAAATGGCTGTCTTGACATTTACCCAGAATGTCAAAAAAATTAATCAGATCTAGATTTTCATACTTAGAATCATCCCTGAAAATTTAAAATTGATCTACCAAAGGGTTCACCTAAAAACGCGTAGACAAGACTTTACGGGCAAGATTTTAAGACGGTAAATCCAAAATGGCTGTCTTGAGACATTTATCCAGAATGCCCAAAAACTAATCAGATCTAGATTTTCATACTAATAATCATCCCTGAAAATTTGAAATGGCACTTTTGGTAGAAGGCGGCCATTTTTCAAGATGGGACGCTGTGATTTTCTATTTCTGAGTCCATCAATATTTTTTTGCATTTTAGTAATCACCCTTGGTATACGCAGCTAACGAAAATTGACCGGTACGGGTCAAAAGCTGGACCGGTACGGGTTAACGGTTTTATTTGAATTTAAAACAGTCATAACTTGCTCAATATTGACTTCCTCGTGTCTAATTTGAAATATATGATGCCTCCCGATGCTTTTAAGTACCCCAATTTTTTACAGATTTTAAAACGGACCAAAACTCTCTAAATGCGCATTTATGCTCTTTTCTCTCGAGAACGACTGTCTTATTTTCACGATAACTTTTATTTAGTACTTCTAACATAAAAGTTCTATTTTTCCCCATCAAGGTATGATGTAAATGACATGCTGTTAACATCTTGTGAGTTTCAATAACGCGCGTTTGATTTTATAAAAAATGCCAAACTTTGTGACAAAGAATTTCTATAGCTATTGCCCCGAACCGGTCCGTCTTCTCGTTGCAAGCTATTGCCCCAAACCGGTCCGTCTTCTCACTGCAAGCAGGAGGAAATTCTTTGTCACAAAGTTTGGCATTTTTTATAAAATCAAACGCGCGTCATGGAAACTCACAAGATGTAAATAGCATGTCATTTACATCATACCTTGATGGGGAAAAATAGATCTTATATGTTAGAAGTACTAAATAAAAGTTATCGTGAAAATGAGACAGTCGTTCTCGAGAGAAAAGAGCATAAATGCGCATTTAGAGAGTTTTGGTCCGTTTAAAAATCTGTAAAAAATTGGGGTACTTGAAAGCATCGGGAGGTATCATATATTTCAAATTAGACACGAGGAAGTCAATATTGAGCAAGTTATGGCTGTTTTAAATTCAAATAAAACCGTTAATCCGTACCGGTCCAGCTTTTGACCCGTACCGGTCAATTTTCGTTAGCTGCGTATACCAAGGGTGGTAATGTTGGGATGGCGTTACTGAAAGCCCTGATAACAAGTTGCAACTACATTCTCGGCTGTAGTGGCTAGCCCCTTTGGCCGTATCAGTAGAGCAACTGCCTCGAGAGTGGAAGGTCCTGGGTTCGATTCCCATATGTGGCATTGAATTTTGCACACTCCCTTTAGGGTCTAGTATCTGGCTCGGTACACTACAGCTCCCCAACGGATGTGCCCAAGGGATGTTACAAAATAAATAAATGACTGAATAAATAAATTATGTATGGAAAATAATTTAAGGTTCTTCCTGAATGGGTTAATGCTAAGTTTCTATCATTTTTCCTTTATCTAAGCACAATATGCAGTAATGCAGCATTTTTTGAAAAAAATGTCATGGGAAGAGAGTTCCTGAGAATTTATTTAGAAAAGTTGGAAGGTACGCCCTAGTTGACTACATTGCAAGGGCTGAAAATTTCTTACTTTTGAAATGTAATGTAAGCCTCAATTACAGGATCCCAAGAGTAGAAGTATGTCCAATCAAGGGTTTTCTAGAGATGTATGATTTCTACTATGTAGTCAAATCTGCTATGTGTAGCTATGTACTATTTAATGGCAAAACAACACAGGTTTAGATTTATCTTGAATTTGGTTATTTTCCTGTATTATAGAGAACTGGTTGTGAGTGCATTGGCAGCCATGATAGATAGTACAGACAGAAAACTACCACTGCAAGCATTGGATTCATTTGGAGCAACAGGTAAATGTGTAGTCTCTAAACTGATATCAAATAACTATTTGTGAATTTAACAATGATTAGAACATGCAAATGTAACTGTAGAAGCAGCATTTCTTTTCATATTTTACTTTGTCATCTTAAATGTATTAATATTTTTTACTGTTTAAACATTTTTCAGGTATTCTCGGGATGTTGTTGAAGGCCAAATTTGGAGACAATGTAGATGTATCCATTAATGACCTTGATCCTGTCTCCATGGAAAACATAAAGGTGAACTGCCAGGAGAATAATCTCAAGGTTAAAGATGGAGGTCAAGGTCAAATAGAGGTCATAAATCTAGATGCCAGGATATTGTTGCATCAGCGCCAATATGACTTTGTGTAAGTTTTTTTGGGATCAGTAAATTAATGCAAAATACTAGATGAGGGTGGAATGTAAGGTAATAAGGTATGAAAGTTTGTACATGTATATAGTGCAAAGTATGTACATTTCAGTTCTACAGGCTGTCCACAAAAAAGTATACCCAACTTCAAATCCAAATTACTAGGATCCTAAGCAGTTTTTTATAAAATACAAAGGTAGTTGTAAAAAGCTTGATTTATTCACCACCAAATGGTACCAAGATCATTATGTAACTGTCCTGTATGACGGAGCAATCTTGACCATTATGAGAGGTGGTAAAATTAGCATTAGATTTGATAAGATTTTACCACCTTTCATGAAGTTGTATACTTTTTTGTAGACACACTGTAGATAGAATAGGAAATCATTCATTTTGTGAAAGTAATGAAATCATCACAATTTGGTTAGAGAGGGTCAAACATTATAACAACTAACTTGTGTTATCTCCTGTGTTATAGATGCTTAGATCCCTATGGAACTGTTGCTCCATTTCTTGATCCTGTCTTCCACAATGTACGCAACAAGGGAGTTGTTGTTCTTGTGTCTACTGACGTAGCAGGAATATACGGAAAATTCCCCAATGTAGCTGAGAGAAACTATGGCTCTTATTTGGTCAAAACGGATTATTTTAAAGAGTTGGCAGCCAGGGTGGTTATAGGAGCAGCCATGAGGTTTGTTTCTTGTATTTGAGATCAAATTAGCTTTTTATCTTTCATGACCTCCAGCTGTGATATGTCTTTGAACATCCAGAGTTTTAAAATTTCAAGCCTGAAAACTCACTTGGAGGTGTAAGGCAATATTATGTGTTAAAGTAATTAGTTTTGGCACTTTTACTTTGTATTAGACTGAAATTTTGACCTGACTTCTATTTTATACATTGTAAAATTCTCCCATTCTAGGTCAGCAGCTCGTTGTAACAAAGGACTTGAAGTCCTATGCACTGTGGCTGTGGAGCATTTTGTGCTGACTGTTGTCAAGATATGTAGAGGACCTACACATGCTGATCGATGTTTACCTAAAGTGCATAAACTCATACATTGTCACATGTGTCAAGATAGAGCCTTTTATCCAGAGACACATACGCCTATAGGTATGATTATGTAACAGTTTGTAATGAAATATGATAATAACGGTTTCAATTCTGTATGACATATTATGAAAACTTTATAAAGCTACGTTTACACCAACGGCGAATGCCACGCTTTAAATCGGCGAACAAAGCGCCATCATTTTTGTCATTTTTTGTTCATACCAACAGCGCTTTGATTGCGCTTTAAAGCGGCTTGTAAAGCGGCACCAAAGCGTAACAAAGCTTGATTAAAGCGGCGGGGTCGTAATAGGTCGTAGAAAAGCTCGGAGTAAAGCGGGATATTCGGCAAGAGCGCCAAAAAATATCAAACTGTTTAAAAAATTTGGGCGCTCTGTTACGAATTGATTAAAGCGCCGTGAGCGTATCAAAGCTTAAAAACCATAAGAAAGCTCAGAAAAGCTTGGACCAAAGCGTAGGAAAGCTCAACATAGCTCTGATAGGTTCCTCACGCTTTGATCCCGATTTGACCAGGCTTTGTTACGCTTGAAATCACGCTTTGATAAGAATTATTACGCTTTGATGCGATTATGACGCTTTAAATCAGGCTCTGATACGATTGCCAAGCTCTGTTGTGCATTGTTACGCTCTGTTTAGCTCTGTCACGCATTGGAAAATGTCGAGATCGCCGATTTCATGCCGCTTTTGATCCAATGACTATATAAAGATGCAGTAGATCCATAAAACCATTGCATCTTTGACTCGAAAACACGAGGGCAGAACAACAAGATCCAGAAATTCCAGATGGACCAGAGCATGACCTATCTGAAGAAGACATGATGTTTGACGCACGGCGTGAAAGAGCGTGAGAGAGCATGAGGAAGCTTGTCAAGCGTAACAAAGCCTAACGAAGCGTTTCAATTCTTGATTAAAGCGTCTCAATTCGTTGGAAAGCTTGAGAGTCCTTCATGAAAGCGTAACAAAGAGTGTGAGATATTGATGAAAGCGTCTGACCTCGTGTCAGATCTTCATGCCAGATCGTAGCAAATCTTGAGACATCTTAACGAAGCATGTAAAGTGGTAACAGACCGTGAAGAGACTGGGGTCCCGCTTTGAACCAAGCTCTGTTAAGCTTTCCTATGCTTTGGGTCAAGCTTTGATGAGCTTTGTTACGGTTTGTTAAGCTTTGATCCGCTCTCGGCGCTTTAATCAATTCGTATCAGAGCGCCCAAAATTTTTAAACAGTTTAAAATTTTTTGGCGCTCTTGCCGAATATCCCGCTTTAATCCGAACTTTTCTACGACCTATTACGACCCCGCCGCTTTAATCAAGCTTTGTTACGCTTTGGTGCCGCTTTACAAGCCGCTTTAAAGCGCCATATCGTCATTTTCTTGTGCTGATGGGTGTGTGTGCTCGCATCCATGCAGGTGGAAGGGTGCCACATAAATTCCAGGAAAACAGCTTATCAGTTCAACTTGAAATTTTTACAGAAGCAAGAGCTGACTCGTGCTTAGATCTGATTTGGATTGTAGTATGTTGGGTAAAATACATGGTTGCCATTTTGTTCTTTAAAGTGTATCTTTATCACCGTGTGTGTCTTGTACTGTATAGCACTGTGTGTCTTGTACTGTATAGCACTGTGTGTCTTGTACTGTATAGCACTGTGTGTCTTGTACTGTATAGCACTGTGTGTCTTGTACTGTATAGCACTGTGTGTCTTGTACTGTATAGCACTGTGTGTCTTGTACTGTATAGCACTGTGTGTCTTGTACTGTATACCACTGTGTGTCTTGTACTGTATACCACTGTGTGTCTTGTACACAGTACTGCAAATCCTGTAAAATTGGCCAACATTAATGTCAAGCTCAAAACCCATTAATCACAACATCTGGCTATGCTGCTGCTACAAGCAGAGAAATCAGGCATCCAGCTCTGGCAATAAAGTTGAAGTAGAATTCTGCATGTTTAAACTTTATCTCTATATCTCTGTGCAATCTAGTATTTTTCATGAACACATTAGTTAACAGGCCATTAATTTCATATGTTTCACACCATCTAGAGAAAGATTGAAGTTTGTAAGTGTAACACTTTTTAAGAAATTAGCAATTCAAATGAAGAGGGCACTTTGGAATCAACTGATCATCAGTTAGACAATCAATTTCTAAATGACTTTTTCTATTTAAGATCAGAATTTTATTTCTAAGAGACTTATATCATTAGAAAGAGCATGGAATAAGGCATTAGTAATATGCAGGCATGTTTACAACTCAAAGGTTTATCAGCAGCTACAGAGAAAAACAATACAGCGAGGAATTAATCCAGAGTGAAATGTTAGCTCTGCTATAGGTAAAATACATTGGATTGTACAGTTTCACTAACTTTTGATGAATTTTTACTCTGTTATAAAAATTAATTAGACATACTTATAGGAATGAGTAAGGAATGAGATGAACTGTATCTAAAAGCTAATTTAATTCTGCATCCATCAATATTTTTTCAGCTTATTTGAATTCTGATCAGTGAATGAATTTTTACTTTAAAACATTACCATTCTAATTAATTGAATAGTAAACTCAACAACTGAGTATTTGACCAGCAATGGAATGTTTCCAATCATTTAAATATTATAACTGGGATCCCCTCGATTGTGGTACCATTGTAAAGAGAATTGAATTCACTTTAAATAAATACAAATTTTGAATTGAATTATCATAAAACAAAATCTTAAACTAAGTACAATTAACAGACGGTTTAATTCAAGTTAACTGCCAGCATAACTGATTTTAATGCTATGGTACCAAGTTCAGGCACTCTAGGCAGTTAAATCTAAGGCGCTATCCAGATATGTTGGTAATTAATCATCCTAGCTAGCCAGAAATCATGACATTAAAGTTAACATAGAGTACAGTACTGTGTGTACTGTATAGCACGGTGTGTCTTGTACTGTATACCACTGTGTGTCTTGTACTGTATAGCACTGTGTGTCTTGTACTGTATAGCACTGTGTGTCTTGTACTGTATACCACTGTGTGTCTTGTACTGTATACCACTGTGTGTCTTGTACTGTATACCACTGTGTTTCTTGTACTGTATTCCACTGTGTGTTTTGTACTGTATACCACTGTGTGTCTTGTACTGTATACCACTGTGTGTCTTGTACTGTATACCACTGTGTGTCTTGTACTGTATACCACTGTGTGTCTTGTACTGTATACCACTGTGTGTCTTTTACTGTATACCACTGTGTGTCTTGTATTGTATACCTACTTGTGATACCACTTCCTAGGTAAGCCAGTTGGTATATTGTTCATGTATTGCATACAGAAACCTCATGTGTGTACAATGTACTTACTAATTTTTTGATGATTGTATTTTCCAGAGAATCCCTACTCATTGCTCCAGTGTGTATGTAAACAAGAGAACCTTGGAAAAACTGCTGTGGAGTTGGGACCTTTCTGGTGAGTCTTTATTTTTCTCATTGATAACTCACTGTTTCATAATTTTTATCATTTTGAAATATTAAGTATGAGTTATAATTATTAGTAAGAATCTTGTGCATAATACTGTAATTATTATTTTGGTAATTTATTTTTTGTTTTATCAATCACACATTTTCAGTAATGGTACCAAGATTTCATTATCTAATTTTTAACATTTTACATTTTTACATTTATCCTTTAATCACTTCATCCTTATGAATAAAAAAAACAATTTTGAGTAAAAGGTAAAAAAGTCCTTAAATCCTTAAACAATTGAAATCTAAAAGAGCATCTCACCTTATTTAGGATTCTGATCAATAATCATAATATTATGATACTTTTGCCACTTAAACATCTAACAGGCATTCTCTTTTTTTGTTGCACAAATGCACACTCAATTGAGTGATTAATTGACTCATACATGTAAATGCCATCTCTCAATCAAAAGTGACAGTTTTTTGCATGTTGGTCACACCCTGTATTGTACATACTGTATACATTACAGGCAGTCACTCTCTTACTTTGTATATAGACACCAGATTTGAATCAAGATCAACTGATTCAACCAACTGTATGATCTCTGTGAATTTTATAAAGCACAACCCCCACTCAACTTAATAATGCTCCCCAGCAATGTTGATTGTAATTTCTAAAAATGTTTACTGTATACAACAGCCATAACCCATTAAATAGCACTAAGAATTATTTCAGGAGTGGCCCACTGTACAACACTGAGTACTTACACCACATGCTCCAATCAGCTCACAATCTGCAGTTCTCCCAGAGGCTAAAGTCACTGTTAGAGACTCTTATTGTTGAATCTCTCTGCCTGGGGAAAACATACAAAATGCCATCTTTTGATAAACCCAAGAACCAAAATCGTCAAGCAACTGAAGATAATAGCAGCATTTCCAATTCAGAAAGTAATGAACTATGTCACAAAGATGTTCAATCACTTGAACAGAATAGTACATCATCAACTCAGGGAAATAGTGATAAAACTGATATTAACAATGCTAATGGTGAAACAGATGAAGGGAGTCATCAGACATCTAATGGAGGAAAGAGACCTCTAGAAAAAGATGATTCATCAACTGAAAGTAAAACAAAGAAACTGAAATTAGATGTTGGATCTAATGGATTGGATATGCCCCTGTTTTTCCAAAATGTCCATACAATGATGCTAAAGGGATGTGATTTACCCAAGTAGGTTACTTTTTCTGATACCTTTAGTCCTCTACACATAAAATATCTATCTTTAATTTTTTTTAGCATTTCTCATTTATTATTTATTATCGTATATTTTGATATTTTTGAGATTAAATAAAAAACACATAATCTGTTCAGTTCATTCCAAACCACAAAGGTAATAACTCAGATACGAGAAGGTAGTTACCAGTTTCACCACCAGGTGTCTCTTTCAGGTCACATAGTATGGTGGGTATAGTAGAAAGTTCCCCTGAACTTAAATATTATCAGTTTTAGTGGTTCAATTTTCATATCACCCTTATGTATCTAAAAGTAATGCTAATAAAAATATCTCCAGTAAGAGAAAATATTATATGTCCAATACAAGAAAAGATATTTCACTTTTTGTGATTTTATAACATGTGGTCTATGGGGAATCTCTCGAACTAGAAGTTACATTTGTCTGAAAGATTAAATTTTCAAAGTTGATAAACAATTTTAAAACCACAAATTGTAGTTGTACTTTTACATGTAGATTTCAAAAATGACATCATTTTGACTGAATTTTGAATATTTAATGATGTTAAATCAAGATTATTTCTACATGCATCCAGTCTATTCCATTTAGACTCAAGCCTTATATTTTGCAGTTTGATCTTAGGTCATCCAACTTTCTATGAAAAATAGTTTGCTCGAGGGTATTTTTACCCCCTCCCACCACCCAAACAAAAATACATATGCGACTTACCAAGTTTTATATCATTATTTTAATGTTTTGACATTGTCCCTATTTCACTTAGTTTAAGCAGTTATCAAAGTGAATTCTACATTCATCCACACTAGTCTTATGTTTGAATGCGTAATACTAAAATGTTGAAGGAGCTGGGTCATTTATCAATGTATCGTTTTCACAGAACAATTATGTTAGGGGGCAGGGATAGAAAACAGATTTTATTATAGGAAAACACTGCATATTTAGTAAGTTAACTCCAGTGTTCATAAACATTTAACAAACAAGGGTTGGCTTCTGAGGCTTCATGGAATTAGTTTTGCTGTAAAAAAGCAATAATTACATTCTTACCTTGTCCCTCAAGAATAAACCATAAACTGAGTCTATTATTTTCCAGGGCCAACAAGCTTGTCGCAATGCTACATACAGAGGGATACAGAGCAGCTAGGACACATTTTGAGCCACATGCAGTACGCACTAATGCCACCCTCACACAACTTGCTGACATCATCAAGAGACACTGGCCCAGCAAATAGTAATCAAACTATCCTCTAATGGGTATTATCTATCAACTGTGTCATTTTACATTTTATTTTAGATATATACTGTACTTTATGTAATTTATCTCATAGGTTATGAAATATATCGAATGAAACATTCATATATTTTGTTTGCTGTGTTTCTTGAAGTTGAAACTGGACGCAGGATAATCTCTATGCCAATGTTATAACACAGTATTATCATTCAGTGTGTCAAAATAGTAAATGCATTTCAGTCCATGAGTCTGTAGCTATACGTAACAAAATATCATTCAGTGTTCGATGAACTATCTTAATTGGTTACTATACATTGTTGTCTGTGCAATATCATTTTCATCAGATTTAAGTGTTCACTAGAAGTTCAGAATTCATTATTACACAAATATAAATATTACTCAATGTAGAAATCATGTCTGTACAATATCATTTACATGTTATTTCTGTTCATATACAATTGTGTTGTCATCTGATGGATTAAGGAAGTCTTTCTCATATAAGTCTGTGATGTTTGTACACTCAAGTATTGCTTTATTTGGAACCTGAAAAACATTCATGACTTAATATCTATGACATTATACCCTGTAGTCCAGGGTCTAGTTTAATTGCTATGCTCTGAAAAGAGCTAGAGTATAGAGTATACAGTTTTGATGCACATAAGGTCTCAATGACACCAAAAGTAGCTGTCATGGCCTTAAATGGGAGTGAGTTAAATATGAAATAAACGCCAGCTACTTATGAAGGCATACATTAATCTGGAACTGCATTTCTGACCTATTATATTGTGTACGGCCATTCATTGTATTTCTGTGAAAATATAAAGCAATGTGTTGAAAATTAAGACATTTTCTACTGTTGGAGAATTTTAAGGTGTCGAAATATTTCTACCATAGTACAATAACAATGTCAGTGGAAGATTTAATAAGTTCCCAACTTTTAAATAGACGTCATTGTGTTTGGAGCTGACAGTTGCAAGGTGAGGGATGTGATTAAAAACTAAACAAGGCATTAACACGCAAAATGTCACCACCTGTCATTTGTTATAGACGCCAACTGCAAAATGCCAAACACCGTCCACAAAAAAGAAAGTTGGAAACTATAACAAAATGTTACCACTTGTGATGGATGGTGACATAAAACAACATGAATTTGTCATGACATACATGTAGGAAGCACAAATGTTCTAATGAATATATTAAAAATTTAAGTTCAATTCATTTGAATGTCAACAGGTTGTCACCATATTAATTGCAAAAGTTATCACGACGCTTGGTGAAGTGATGGGGGGGGGGGTTACTTGGGTGTCAGTACAAGGACCAAATCTCACAGGTGTACACTCTTAATATAAAGGTTCGAATTGAAAATATCAAAGGAGATTTTTAGAGAATTTTAGATTCTTATGATAAATCAATTGAATTTCTAACCCCCCTATCACACCAAACTAGTTCTTACCCGTTCTTGCCAGTCCTACGAAAACGTCGTAAAACGGGCTCAATCTGGCTGTGGTCGGGAATTAGCTTCTTCGTTCTTAAACAGTCTTCAATACGTCCATCTCGTTCGCAGTTCGTTCAGGTCGCACCACGTCGGTGTGCAACGTAGTAGAACGCGTCCCTTAGTCTAGAAGGTCAACATGACCTGATTACAGAACGGCATGGTCGCCATCGAATTTTGAATCGATTCAAGATTCTAAAATCACATTCCCGTCTGAGAACGTTCATAAAGTTCGTAAATAGACCTTAGAAAGTTGCAGCTACGTTCATTCCGTTCGCACACAGTTTAAAACCAGTTTTGGAGAACGCAGTGGCAACTTGTTTGGTGTGATAGCTATATTTTTGCTAACTCGTTCATAAGCAGTGTTAAATACGTTCTTGATCAGTTTAAACCCGTTTGCAATTAGTTCTACCTCGTTCTAAACACGTCCTCAGACAGTTCAACTCGTTGTTAAAACGTCCCTAGTAGGATTGAAGTACTACTGTTCCGTTCGTAGTACGTTCAGCTCGTCGTTAGTACGTTTTCACTCGTTCTAATTGTAGAACGTGACGACCACGAGAACATTTTGAGCATTGTCTGAGTTCTAGAGGACCTACCCGTTCGAGTACGTTCGATGAAGTTTGTAAATAGATCCCAAACGGTTCTTAGTATGTCCAGTCCGTTCGTACACAGTTGAAGCCCGTTTTCGAGAACGTAGTGAGAACTAGTTTGGTGTGATAGTAGGGTAAGCAGTACAAATTGTGATTTTCACTTGGGTAGTCAAGCTTCCATTGCGTTAATACGTTTTCTACAGCGATAACATTGTATCATTCGTTGGTCCCATACGTTGATTGCTTTATCATAGACTTGAAGTCGTCCTCGTACTTATGTATATATATTGTTAAGAATAGGTGAGGTGATGTTATATGTTCTAGAAAGTACAGTACCTTTGCAAAACTTAAGTCTCTTCACTTGGTATTGAAAGAGCGGCTAAACGTGATCAGTGGAATCTCTTAAAAGAGATGTGAGCACAAAATCCAAAAGTAAAGTATGTTTGAATTGAATAATTCTGCCGATTTATCCTAAAAAGAAACTCCATTCAACATTTACACCATTACTTGTCCCATTACTGTCACTAGGTGAGTAAACACGATGAATCATAAGAATGGATATGGTTTTAAATATACCATTAGAAAGGGGAAGTAGATGACATGAATACGATTATAATATCAACACTGAAGAGGTAAAATCTGTTTTTTTCAAGGTGCCTTTGACCCATAGTGATCTTTACAATTTTCAACGTTGACCTTCTTGAAATGCATGTTCTAGTCATTTAAATGTAAACTGTTGAAGTGACCCAATTAAATTATAAATATTAAAATATTATTATATAATGAATAAAAAGAGCTGATATTTAAACATTAGTTTGCCCTACTTTTAATTCAAAGATTCCTTTATTGTACTGGAGTCTTAGTTTTAAAATCTAAAATCGTAGCCTTTGGAATACTTTAAAAACCAATTTAAAATCAATCCTGCAATTCATTAAATTTACGTGATGTAACGGTTGATCAGATAACTTTAATTTAAACCCTCCGTCAGCAATCCGTTCAAATAAGTTAGCTAGTAATTAATCCACAGATTACCCTCTTCAAACTTGTAAGATTTTATACGCCTCCAAAGATTACCCCGAAAAGACTAATTCGGCCCTACTACATACAGTTTAGTTTCAAATACCTGGTGATGATCAACAGAGATCGCTAGGAGCTAATATACTTGGGAATGTCACGTATGAGAATAAAAAATGTTAAACTACTAAATCGCCATATTCTAATAAATCATTGTAAATAGTTGGTTATGGTCTAATGTCCTCGGACACAGCCAAGGTTAAAAGTTTAGATAAAAAATAATAACAAAAAATTAGTCCCTTCGAAAAATACAAGGCAGTTACCGCATTCTTTTTGATGAGTGCACAATGCGCTTCCCAAATTGAAATTTAAAAGGGTAAAAGATATTGAGAGACAACAATAAGCGCACATGCAACAAAGGACCATGTGAGGTATTTTAGACGGTCATATCGTTCACCATGAGTACTTTTTGGCCATAAATACTGTGGTTTCTTTGAAAACAATATGTTTTTTCGGGTGAAGTCCCCATGATAAAACAATGAATAGAAATATCAATCCAACTCTCTGAAAATTTTTGGATTAGGACCCCACATTGGCACATTCTAAAAAATGTTTATTTTTTAAAAAGAGGATCTTGTTTTTCTCAATTTAAACATATCAAAATATTCTTCTACACTATATTAACATTTCCTGAAAAGGGGATGATGTTCGAAAGCGCTAAAGTTAAAAACCACATATCCCATGTTATTTTCCCAAGGGAACAATCATGCTATCCATTGTTTCAGCATAATTTTGCTTATCGAAAATTTTTGACCAACTCACCTGATATATTTGACCATTTTGAAATATGTGACCCTATAGGCATGACCGACCACAGCACTATCACTGCACAAATAAAGATTGGAGTAACCAAATCCAAACCTATAAAAAAAACTATTTGGAAATACAACGAAGTCAACTTAGAAAATCTGAACAACGCAATCAGGAACACAAACTGGTTACATATTTTAAATGAGAATATAGACTTAGATTTGGCTACCTCTAACTTTATGAATAAACTCATGGATATATACAAATCCAGAATTCCAAATAAAATTATAACTGTTCGGTCAAATGATCAGCCATGGATCACCAGTACACTTAAAAAAGAACTATCGAAGAAGAAAACACTTTACAAGAAATTTTCCAAATCTCCCTCTCAACTTAATAAATTAATATATGACCAACAGGCAACTAAAGTTGCCCAACTTGTTGAACAAGCCAAAATAGATCACGAAAAAAACCTTATCATCAATTGACCAGCTAAATAAGTCAGATAAAATTTTTTGGAGAATCATCAAATCATTTTTAGGCACAAATTTGACGAAAAACAGCATATCTAGCATTTATGATGAAACTACTGGACACGCATTTTCAAATAACCTTGATATTGCAAACAAATTCATGAACTATTTTGCCTCTAAAAACCATACAGATGCCAGTTTTGACCATTTGCCTCTATTCCCTATGAGGACAAATTCTTTACTCATTTCCGCTAAGACTGACCAATTTGAAATTATGAAAATAATTCTCTCCTTAGATACCTCCAAAGCATGCGGGCCAGATAATATCACAAACAAAATGTTGAACCTTACAGCTCATACCATTTCAAAACCTCTTACCATATTATTTAATAAACTTCTAACTAAATGCACTTATCCAGATATTTGGAAAATAGGCAATGTTTGTCCAATCTTTAAAAAAATGATAAATCAAATGTTAATAACTACAGACCTATCACCTTGCTAAGCTCCATATCCAAAGTTTTTGAAAAGGTTCTTGCTGACAGAATCAGAAAACACTTACTTGATAATGATCTTCTTTTTAAGTATCAGTCCGGATTTTTACCTGGTCATAGCACCATTCATCAACTTTTATCTATCGAGCATTTTCTTCAAACTACTTTTGAACAAGGACAAGCCTCCAAAACAATATTTTTGGACGTAGCCGCCGCTTTTGACCGGGTTCCGCACACGTTACTCCTCCATAAACTCAAGGCATATGGTTTTCAAGGTCAAATCCTTAAAATGATCACATCTTATCTTACCAACAGGAAAATTGCTGTTCAAATTTCTGGTGAGACCTCCAATTACTCAGAAACTAGTTTTATAAACTGCGGTGTCCCACAGGGCTCAATATTAGGGCCGATACTTTTTCTAATATATATTAATGACCTTCCAGACAATCTGGATGGTCATTGCTACATTTATGCAGATGATACCTCATTACACCATCCTTTTGACCCAAAACAACCACAACAAATAGAAGCAGTGGTAAAATCCAATCTAATTAAAGTAGAAGAATGGTCTAACACTTGGAAACTTGATTTTAAACTGGAGAAGAGTTCCGAGATGATTTTTCACTCACCTAGAACAAAAACTGATAATGTGGCAACTTCAAAACTAAACAATATAGAAATCAAAAGAGATACCGAGCACAAACATTTAGGACTCATTTTTGACCCATGTTTATCTTATGATAAGCATATTGGTGATTTACTAGTCAAAATAAGAAAAATATTAAACCCATTAAAGAAACTCAAATTCAAGCTTGGGAGCAAGCACCTAGAAACAATCTTCAACTCATTCATTCTTCCTCACTTTGATTATGGTGCCATTTTATATGGCACAGCTTCTAAATTTCTTTTGCGAAGACTCGATAGTCTATATTACACAGCGGCACTCTATTGTTCTGGCTGCATCCAAGGGAGCAGTACAGAAAAGGTCCTAAGTCTCCTAAACTGGCCAACACTTGAATCTAGACGTAGAATACAATCAGATAATTTTATGTTCAAAGTTGCCAATGGTACAAGTCCCTCATATATCACAGACATTTTTGATAAGTATAGTAATGTTAGGAATAGAAACTTGAGATACATTGATCCATTCAAAATGCCCATAAGATGCTCTGCTAGATTCTCATCCTCAGCAATACCTTCTGCAATCTCAAAATGGCTAGAGCTCCCCCCTTCTATTAAAACCAAGAAAACTCTTCATAATTTCAAAAAACACCAACGGCTGTTCCTCCAAAACCCCTCTAAAATTTTGACCACAAGTCAACTCAATCTTTCTAGACGGCATGAGATAGTGGTGAATAAAGTAAGAGCTGACTTATTTTTTAAAGCTCAATTTTATGCCCATAATTTTAACTCTGTTGACAGCCCTAATTGTGCTTGTGGCAGCTCTCAAACCTTAAAGCATATTCTTTTCCAGTGCAATCGCCTAACCTTAGTAAGACAGGATCTCTGGGATAAACTTGCTGAATTAGAACCTTCTCTCAATAATAATCTTCCCCAGTACGATTTTATCTCCATTTTGAAAACAGGGAGCCCAAACTTAAGCATAGATGTAAACTCTAAAGCCATTTCACTGATACTTGACTTCATTATAGACAATAGCTAATTCCCTCCCTCATGTCTCTCTTTCTGATATCCTGTTGTCCTGTCACACCTGCTCCGGTCCGGGACCCTGTCTGCCTGCCACCCCCAGCCTCTCACCATTCCTATATAATGCCCTCTGGCGATTTAGGGATGCTATTGTAATTGTATTTTAAACTATATCAATGAAATATTTATATGTTCAAAACTAGAAAACTGTCTTGATCGAAAAAGAAGTACTCCAGCGCTCCAATACTTACACGGATTGATGATACTGATGTAAGACACAGTTAGAGACCAAAAGTAAGCCGCGGATCGACTTAATTCGATTTCAAAGGTCACTATTGATCAGCTGTTCACTTCTCCGCTTGAGAGCCATAAGTTTCAAAATCTAACATGGCTCTCGAAGTGAGTAACGTTTGGCAGTTTGGCTTGAATTTTTATATAATTGTCAACCTTAGCTCCCCCATTGAACTATGTGTTAAAGCCTCATTACCTTTGAATTTTTATTTACTTAACCTGCGATGGAAACGTAATGTGACTTTATTTCCAATACTTTCAAATTTTCTCAATTTTTCCCTCAATATTACGATAAGTCGAAAATTGATGATAAAGATGAATTTTTGAAAATCTACATTCCCATGTTAACCAATGGGAAATGGTAGGTTTGTCGCAAGTCATATGACAGAATATCCATCCATCCGAGTCCTTGGAAAAATACGAGTAAGGTAAGCAATTGAATTTGCTAATTTTATTACTCAAACTGAATTGGAATATATAGCTTCAAGTGGTGATTTAGGACTTTGCTTGTCCTTTCCGGCAGGTATTGTCTTTGACTATTTTGGTCCTAGAATAACATGTATTACATCGCTTGTGCTCTCGGGCTTAGGATTTGGACTCATGTCGACAGCAACAAACTTTAGAATATTCTTTACTTCAAAAAGTTGGCTTTTATGTGTCTTCTATTTCATGGCATCAGATGGAACTATGTTTATAATGATATCAGCATTTGTAGTGAATTGCAAGAACTTTGATAGGAAACACATTGGCAAAGTAGCTGGCCTCCTCCAAGCTGTATTTGGAATAAGCCCTGCGATATCTAGCGCCCTCTATGAAGGTGTATTTGTACAAGGACACATTGAAGATGCAGAGAATCAAAATCTTGGAGAGTTCCTGCTTATGCTTGCTGTATTTTCGGTTTGTGTAACTACATTTGGCGTTGTAATGCTAAAAACAGTTGACGTAACAGCTGAACCTGATACTGAACTATCAGAATTACCCACAACAAATGAAAATGAAGAGGCAGGAATAAGAACAAAAAATGAGGCGCATAATAATGCAAGGAATAAAATAAACGACAGAACCGCACTTGTTCCAAAAGAGACGAAAAATCTTCCACCAGATGAAGAAATGAAGTGGTGGCAAATCATTCAAACACCTCAGTTTTATTACATTATTTTTATCTGCATAATAACAGGGGGCACTGGTGGAACTCTTACAAATAATATCACAATTGTTTCAAAATCTGCACAGGTTCACATCAATGCAATAGCCTTCACAACTACAATTCCAATTGTTGCATCAATTGGACGATTGATTAGCGGAGCGGTACAAGATTACGTATCACAAAAATGGCCAGACATGCCTAAGTCATCATCTCTTTTAATCTCTGTCATACTCATGGGTTTAAGTCAAATAGTCTTTGCATGTTATAATCAAAGTTTTCCTGGTTTGGTGTGTGGCTCTGTAATGGCAGCTTTAGCCTTTGGATTCTTCTATGTACAAATATCTGTTATCACCGTTGTTCTTTTTGGCATGAACTATTTTGCACAAAACTATGGTCTCATAGTTCTTGGCCATGGAATTGGAATCGTTTTATTTCAAAAGCTTTTTGCTTTAAATTACGAAACTTATAGTCCACCTGGATCAAAAACTTGTAACGGAGAATTATGTACCCGGTGGTTTTTTGTGCTGACATCTATTTTATGTTCTTGTGCAATTATTTTAAACCTTTGCCTTGTGAAACTTGAAAGGGATAAACGACTGCGATTTGAAGAATCACAAGACTCTTAGAAATTAAACCAGTACTTTACTCATAATTATGAATCGAGCGGATATTGTAGATTGTACTACATGGTAAAACCCTGTTAGGAGGGCACCTCAATAAATGAAACACATTTAAAGTCCAGTTATCCATTAAATGAACCTCTGTAAGTGTAGCACCTCCGATTTGGAACACTATACTTTGAGGTACCAAAGATGTTTCATATACAAAGGTTTTACTGGACCTGTACAAGAATGGTTTACTGTTTAAAAAAATTACATTTATAAAGTGTTATTTGGAATGCATATATGACTCTATTCAAAGTAACAGTGCGAGTAGATAATTTCAAAATGAAAATACTGAAGCTATATAGAAATCAAAATTATAGTGATATTAAAGCTTCATGACTGATTAATGCAAAACGTAAACAATAGTCAATAAAATCAAAGTACTGACATTTTTGCTGTTGCTAGAATTTCATAAAAGGATTGTTTTTAACTTTGGTAGAACTATTTGATTTTCTCATTGGTAGATGTAAAGGTTTATAAATACGTTGATTAGAGGTTTTTACAACTGTTGTTTCTTATGTCAAGTAAGGTATAAAATAATTCATGTTCCTTTCAAAGATGTCGCTACTGGTAAACATATATGTTAGCAGACAGACCATCTATTGGTCAGTTGAGTTCACGGAAATATAAAGAAACCTAATGTTATTCCCTTCATATCCACGTTATAAGATATCTTTATATAATATTCTATTTAATAAACGCATGATCTATGGTAGATTCATGCATCGGTACTCATAGATGAATGTATTTGACATTATAATTGAAAAAGTTAGTTGTACTTCAAAGAAACTACATGTATGAAGTATAATTCAAAAACGACAGAAAATTAATTTAAAATTACAATACAAAAAGATATTGTTTTGCCTGACAAATTGAACAAAATTGAACAAACACGAACTAAAATAAGCATGTTTAGATACCTTCTCTAACGGTGTATAGAATGGGTGATGATGGGGTAGTGTTGGATTGTTAGAACGCTTGCAGAATGCAGTCAGGAATGCCCAGCGTCTGAATTCACTGGTGTTGGCCTCGCTCTTGTGTAGTAGATTACTGTGAAACAACAGGGCATCACCTTGAACAATCATGTATCATATCAATTGAAGCTAGGATGAAGAATGATATGTAACTTCCATCTTCAGCTTGAATGTAGCAATAGAATCTCAGATTTTTTGAAATTTTACAGCAGAAATGCAACTCAAACTATTTTGGATATATTTGGATCTTGTTTTTAAAAATATATATATTTATTATCATTATTTTTCATTTACATTTTACAATACATCACAATTCGCACACATAAGCACAACTTTGGGTACTTTGAGAAGTCAAAAGAGCTACCATGTAGCAGAAATATAAAAATACAATAATTGGGACATGTTTGTACAACATGAACATAGCATACGAGTACATAGAAATATAAAATACAATACGGTAATAAAATACAGTAGGTACAAACTATTTTGGATATATTTGGATCACATTGTTACCTTGTTGTAAAGGCCGAACTTGAAGTGTATCATTCTCCGTCAAAATAATATTATAAGACTTTGCTGCATGTCGCAGTATTTCGCTGAGCATAATTTGTGACTCTCAACCCGTAGTTTACAAATGACATATCTTCATCATCCTAGATTGAATAAATTGATTAGGATCTAGAGTAAGAGTATACAAACTACAAATCTATACCGTATACAAACCTGGTTGTAGCTCAACATGTAATAGTGGTAGTACATTTTTGATTTGTTTAACTCTCTCAAGATCTGCGCCAGTCTGACCTCCAACCAGTATGTGATCAACTCTGCCACATCTGTGGGATCCTTTCAAAACCTGTTGATAAAATAGAAGGTTTGTGTCATAGCAGGTCTTTGGGAAAGGTAGCCATCGCCGTACATAAGTTTTATCAACTATGCTCACCTATCATCTTCGACCTCAATTCCAACACAGTTTGAGCAACTGAAGCCTTGTGAATAAAGATGTTTGTAATTGGTGCACCTTCAAATTTATTATTGGGACTTTGTAAATCAAACTTATATTTTGCTGTCTATTGAGGCCTGAATGCTAAAAATGATTCAAATATCCATTTTTACCTGGAGGCAGCCATTGGTCTTGTCTGCTTTATCTATGGCAATAAATGCAGTCAGCAGATCGGGAAAAAGTATACCATTCTTATACCAGTATCTACAAAATACATGGCCTGATTACTTATATGTATTACAATGGCAGCAAAGGATATAGATTGTAAAATGTACGAAGCAATATTCAGTAAATACTGAGACTAACATATATGACACTGCGTTCATGGAAATTCTAAAAACTGAAAGGGTGATTTATAGGTGAGATTTGGAAAGGGAATGTCCTTTTTTCGAAAAATTGATTTCATAAATGAAGGCAATTCCAGACAATTTGAAAGCCAAAGATGAAGTCAAAGGACATTTTAAAAATAGGAATTATATGCGTGCGGTGAGCATGATTTGTAAAACCCAATGTGGCAAAGTAACACTATTACCCATAATCCTGATGCCAGACAAATTGTCCTCCAGTGTATGGCTCCTTCATCATCAGTTTAGTATGGTAGTGATACACCTCTCCTCCCAGCAGCTTCAAAATGATATACAACAACATATCAGTACACACTATCATGCCACTTGTTGTTAATGTCATTCCTATTCTAATAGTCACACCACACCTTTCCATAACCAAACACTTCCAAAATCTAGAAAGGAACTAATGTTGGTTATGATGACACAATCAAACTACCAATCATGCTTAAAACTCATTCAATATTGGGGCAAAAAGCACTATAATACTGACAATTTTTTGAAAATTGCCATATATAGTACCTCTGAGATAGTATATATAGTATATACAGGGGCATACATATATAGTGTTATATATAATTTTCAAGCATATGATATACTCTATAAGAATCAGTCAAGTTTTTAAGTCCCATTTTATAAGATGTCATGGTTACAAGATTCCAAAAAATGCATTGGGTTTGTACTTGGACGTGATATCACGTCTTTAGTAGCGCAGTTTCCTTGGTCCAGAGATATAGTCATTACCTTGATGATGTAGTTATCTTTATGTGATTACCTTCTCTGATGTATCAACAAGTTTCTCACACCTAGCTAACATGCCCGTGACGTCATTCCCTGGATGCCCCCATAGGCACATTCGAGTCTTCCTGTCGCCACCATCATCATTCTAGAATATAGATGCAAGCAGATCGTTACCCTTAATCCCCCTGATCAACACTGACTATTACAGATGATTTTACAGTGTTGATAAAATTACCCCTAGATTTGCTATTTGCGAAAAAATAAACCCAAGTCACTGGGCTTTTTAAATTTTTCTGCAGTGTCGTGATCTTCAGACACCCAAATGTACATAATATGTAATACCTCGTACGCATGTTTGGTTACACCGTCCTTGTGTTCAATGGCAGTCTGAATGTGTTTCAACTCATCTGTGCTCAGAAAACCTCTAAAATCAAAACATCCATGAAACAATTGCAATCGATTTCAATTAGCTAATTACCAAGGTTTTACAACATTAGCGGCAATTTAATATACAGATGTATGCAAATATTAGATATAAAATAAAAAGGTTGTTTGGGTTTTTATATTCGAAAACCCTGAGTTGTTGTTAGGGAGAGGCTCTAAATTTTGTGTTCATTGTCACTAATGCTGGAAAATAGGAGGCTTTGAAAACTGAATATGAATGCAGAATATGGCTACGGATCTGTTGATTGAATCATTAATAGAACTAGTCTATGAATGTGCATAATGGTGTAGATAAAAATGGGTGATTCATAACTACTGGACCATGACATGGATGTTTATGTTTTACTAGATACGGCATAATACTGCATCTCATCATTGTATTAATGTATTCATCATACATCAGACATGTGAAGCATAGATTAGTTAGAGCAACTGAGGAGTACGTACTTTTCTGTGATAACCATAAAACTGTTCGACACATTACCTTAGGATTATGTAACCGTTGTTGTCAAAGTCATCGATGACCTCAGGGGAAACTTGGAAACTGCTATCAAACTTATAATCTGCAAGAATATAAATTTCTACAATACTAACAGGTAATGTATTGTACTCAATGATACGGTCCTGGGCCTCAGGTCCTGATATCTATTTGTTTCGTGCAGTGTCACATTCCCGGGTATTGAAGGATACCAAGGCGAAGGCTAAATGATGGCCTATTAAATTGGAAGAAGGAATTGATGACACTATCTGAAAGAGCTGCCATTTCTAATAAATGCTTGATGAAATATAGGAAGCTTTTAATTGCAGTATCTCGATGGAATAATGCAGATTATGAGAACTTACAATTTATCGTCTTCGATTTCCGTGTTTATACATATTTTTCTCAGAGATATCATGAGTAAAAGGTTGTGCGATAATAGATAAACAATTAACCTGATACTTGTGCATAATGTATGTGAACTTACCAGAATCCATGATTTGTGTACAGGCAGGCAAATATCTGAAATGGTCTAAATTAAGTTCTGAATAAATGTACGGGCTAGTTAAGCTATTGTTGAACAAACATATTTCATGCAGTTCTACATGTATTCAATACCAACGTTAGTGTAAGGTAACTCCGCTCGTTTATTAAAGGTCGTTTGAAGCACTACAGATAACAATGAGTATCATCTATTTAGACGTAGAAGTCTGTCATGTGCACATATTATAGATATGATATATGTGTAAGTATAACTCTTGAATGGCACTGGTTTTCCTGCAAGTGCCAAGTACACAAGTTCCTCCTATTGAACTTATCCATGTATGAAAATGGTTCAGAGAAAATGCAAATTCAAAAAGTTAGTTCTCATAGAAACCAACGGTACAATAATATTGAAAAGATAATATATTCTTCCTTTTAACCTGGTTAGACATTCAACATTGGTTTATTTTTTAGGTTTAGCATATTTAGAAAAGATGGACATAGAAATAAATTTCAATTCCTTTTCAAAAAGATTTCGCCACCTGAGTGGTGATGATGCCATCACTTAGGTTGCAAACTATTTTTGATATGCTAAAACATTGAAGTGGCACATTAGATATGGCATTTTATTAATCCTTTGTTTAATCTTTGCATTGGTGTTATTTATATATTGTATTTGATGATTGAAAAATTTCAACAAAAATCTAATTAACTTTTAAAGTCATGAAAAATAGTAAATTTTACATTTCAAAATTGAATAATTTAGTTCAGTATGATATGTAATATAAAGGATATGCAGGGGGGGGGGTCTGAAAACAAGGGGGGGGCAGGCATATTTCAAATCTAACTGAAATATTTCCTTGCGGAAAAATTGGGCTCAAATTTAAAAAAATTAAGGCCCATTTTCTTAAAAAAGATTGGGCCCCAATTTTTTCTGGGCACTTCTTAGGGGGGGGGGGGTTATGCGCCAGTGATATGCTATCTAAGATTGGTGGTTGATGGGAGAGCGGTAATTATGAAACATCCTTATATATACATAAATCATAAGTCAAACGGAAAATAATCTTAAGGTTTCATTTACAGATTTGGCACACGCTGGTAATCACAATCATACAATCAATTAACTAAATACAAATATGAATGTTTAACTCCCAGAATTTACTCCTATTTAACCCGAATAAGATAAGTTTATATTAATATTCAATAATAGTTAGTTAAACCACGCAAAAGAATCCAATTAACATTAATCTGGAATCATCGTTTTGATATTGAGAAATGCCAAAAGTTATTTAAACTAAAATCGATTTTCGGTTCTGCGCTCATTCGATTTTGAATCATACCTTGAAGCTTTACAAACGATTGTTTAATCGCACATTTGTATCAATTAACGTAAGAGTATTAAATTATTCAAACTATAAGTACACAAAAATAGAACTATCTGACCCGTGTGGGTAAACTAACTCCACAAAAGTCTATAAATACGGCGCTCTATTGTGTTCCAATCCCAAAGAAAAACAGAACCAAGTTTTGATAAAAGAAAATATGGAGATATTTTCTTACATTTGATAAGGAGTCCTTGTAATCGTTTAAGCCTAGTGATCGCCTGTTCGTCTAGTAGACTACCCTTATTCATAATATAAGATCCAGTTTTCTGACTTTGAAACTTTGGAAACGGTTGTCAACATTTGTATGTTGATAAGGTAAGAAAGGTGTTTATCTTTTTATTTTTTCAAATGGGTCTTTTGCACCTGTTACTAATTATTTTGACTGGTTCATAAATATTATAAATGATATAAAATCAGATGAAAAATCAGATGAAATTAAGGTGCACTTAAAGGTTGGGGTTTTACTCAGAAAAATCATAATTAACTAAATTATTATCGCATGACTTATAATCAAAGCGGTAATTTAGAAGGATGGATCGATGGATACAAAGAAAATGAGAGATGTTTTAAATGAGTTATTGAAATAAAAAGGTGCGTTGTGATGATTACTGGATAACCTTTTTAATGAGGATTTATGACATTTAAAAAGTTGAATTTGGACTGTAATATAGAATTATTACCTTACCGTAAATAAAGATATATTGATGTTGTATAATATACCCTATCAACATTATCTTATTAACGGTAGGGTAATGATTCTATATTCTAGTACAGGCGGACATGGAGTAAACGAAGGTATACATCATATCGCTATTAATGATAACTTAAGATTAGATCAAAAATGAAAACATTGAGCTAATACGTCAGCGAATATGCGCGATCACTTTTTCATGTAAGATACTATTATTACTTTCCCGCAAAGTAATACTTTTAATAACATTATTGTTGATTTTTAGAAAATACCTCATGGGGATTTTGAAGAAAGGTGAAATGGAATCATCCCGGTCAAAGTCAAAAAAGACATCCAAGAGCAAATCCAAACCTCCTCCGGAGACGCTTTTTGAATATAATGCGGATGACGATGACACGGACATTGAAAAGGACGGAGAGAAAGAGAGCGATGACTACCTCACGGAGGATGAAACAATTGACCAACGAATTCAACAAGGAAGAGAGGATATAGAACAGAGACAATCAGACTTCGATCAATGGAAAGTAGAATTTGGTGAAAAGAAAGACACGCTAGTAAACAGGTACACAAGCATGCGACGAAGATCATCCATCCATGTAAAGTTTCTTGAACAAGAACTTTTAAAAGATGTGGTGACAAATTATCAGCAATCTAAGAACTCAAAGTCAAAGAAAACCACATTGGTGAATAAAACAAAGCAGAACACGAGCAGAAAAAATATCAGACCAACAAAATCATGATAAGATTAGCAACTTAATGATATTTATAATTTTCAAGAAATCTAAGAAGTATGAAATAACTCAGTCGTAGTTTAGTTATAAACAGAGGATGACAGTTATATATTTGAACCATTCTCCTAGTACATGCCGGAAGAATGATATAAATATTGCATGCTAATCTGCTGATCATTAGGCTGTTCACAAGAACGATCCGTTTCTAAGAGGATTCAAGAAAGCCTTGTATTATATCGGACGGCGTGATCTACGATTATTATGGATTGGTCATTTACTATTCAGGATTAATTAAGATGTACACACACGCATTAACTGATTGCATTATTGTGAATGGAATCGAACCACGTGCTGCAATCGATAGTGGTACATGGTATCAATATGCGAACTCCCATGTAGTGTCTCGGAATTTTATTTTGAAGACTACCTCTGCTACGGAGTATGATAATTAGTTAGACATATATAGATATATTAGATATGTTATTCACTGGGCAAGATTGGATATGGATTTTATTTCGAGAGAAAATATGATATTTAACCGAAGTCTGACACTTTATTGTCCGAGAGAGTAAAGCAAACTTGAAGCGTTAGCCACTTAAAAATAAAGATCATCTTTACCAAAACTGTGTCAATATCGATATCGTATTATCAAAGATAATACGATTTTTATTCCTTTATTATCAATTTTTGTGGAATAAACGTCGAAGTATGTTAACTAACATAATTTAATGAACCGCTAACATACAATTATGGTGGTTGGAAATTGTGTCATAGTAATTTTTATTGCAAATATAGTATTTAATATCAACCCAAGTTTTTATAAGCTCATGTCACAGTAATGTTAGGGTGAACTTATAAAAAATAAGCAAGGACGGATAGTTGCACCTTGGTATATCCCTTGGTTAATAGTTCGTAATACATGCTCATGTAATTCAGTGTAAATACCGAGGAGGAATCCACACAAGCGTGCACGCATACCCTGAAATGTTAGTGAAAAGTTGAAATTAGAATAACTTGACAACGTCAAAACCTGGATCAAAACCAAGGAAAACTGTCAAATGCTTGCAAAAATACTAATAAAAAAATATTTGAATGAATAATTGGTTCAGTTTTTGACACTGTGGTATTTGTGTGCTTTTAAGGTTTTATAAGTGTTGCATAAAGTGAACAGGAAAGTCAAGATTAACATATTCATTCTACAAAGTAGTTTCTATTATTACAGTAATCATAACATACATTTGAAATAAATACGAGTTGTATAACAATGATCTAATGTATAAGCTCAATGTTATTCATAAAGATCATTGATATTGTTCTACATTAGTGCCAACAATTGCATGTTGTCCTTTTTGATTATCTCTCTGAGTCCTATTTTGATTTAGGATTTTTTAATTTTCATGGTGTGGTATGCAAGCACATCTCGAGCATTTCCTTATTGTTGCGTACAGGCCACCCATTCCTGAATTGATGTTTTGAGAAAGAAAAGTATATGAACGTTTCGATGTTCGATCCCCGCTGGTGCCTTGCCTTAGTATCAACAATGCCAACATAATTTGTGATGAACAACAACTTATGATGAGATCTTTCATTGAGAACATATCAGTCATTCTAATTCTCTTCTATATTTGTTACATCTCATCTCAAGTCATGAGTATGACGATGGCATGGTATATCGTCAATGTTCTGCCATTAGTAACGATTTGGCGTCTTTGGGGCTCAGAACTTTAAAACCTTGGCATTCCAGAGAAACTGGAAAACACAATTAGCAATTAATTAATGAAACACACTGAATACATTAATAAACTTGGAATTCTGTTTTAATAATTGATTTGAAAACGAATTTACGTTATCAGTTATTGCTCAATCAAACGCGCAAAGACTACCCTTTGCATTCGTTTGACTTCCCTTCTTAAAAGAGAGCTTCGTCTTAGTACGTGAGATGAAGCTTACTATAAAAGAAGCAAATGATTCTAGTCTTTAAGGTTGTAGACAAGAAATGTACCTGCTTGTTTGGCTGTCATTTCTGGCAGTCTCATGAGTTTGGGCTGCTTCTGGAAGCCATCGCTGGAGTTACTAGGAGAACCCTTTCCATCACTATTGCCAGTCTTCTGTTCGGCCGAAGCACCGTTCTTCTGCCCATCCACCATTGCATAAATCTTTCTCTTTTCTTCAGTTCGTTCCTAAATAAATAGAAGACTTTGAATTGGGGTATTGGTAAGAATTTTAGTTTTATCCATTTGTTGGCGAAGTCTGTTGAAAGATGTTATATATGCATGTTTAGAATAAATGGTTTAATTTAATTATCACATTCTCAATCTTGCTGTATTTCCTGAAGGTTTCAAACTCAGATATTCATAAGATTTGATTTTTTGCTTTTCTCTATTTCCACCAAAAGTCCATCAAATATTATATTATCATATTCTACTTTCTGAGCTGATGGACTTACACTATGAAGCTGCGTTCGGAGGTCTTCATTCGCTTCCTTATATGAACCAGTCAGTGAGATCAGGTAGTAGATTATCATTCTGAAAACATGGAAGCAAGAAACGTTGTTACTGGTTTGTTTTATTTGTTTAAACATTTAGTCTTATTTAAAATACAAGGGCAATTTTTTGTTAAATATTTTTGTTTCATATTATTTCTTGTAACCTTTTTTTTTAAAAATCCATGCTCAAAGATTTACATTTAGTATGCATAATGTAGCCCCCATCCCCACAAAAAGATCATGGCATTAACATGACAAAATGTCACCACTTAGTTGCTCACAATATTATGACTTCAATCTAAGTCAGATTTGGATTTCTGAGAATTTGTAGATAATTTTGAAAGAAATTGGTCAATTTGAAGCAAGTTTTAAAAATACCCTTTTTGACCTTGAGAAGGTCATTGAAGGTAAAATCTCAAATCTAAAGTCAGATTTGAACCTCTGAAAACTTGTAGATGATTTAGAAAAATGAAGGCAGTCTGTTAAAGTTATTGGAAGTTGTAAGAATTTGTTACAGACGCCAACCACCAACCGCCAACCGCCGTCACCACTTTTTAGTGGTGGCATGAAAAAAGCAATTGTGTAAACTTTGTTGAAAAATCATTTACAATATAGTTTGATATGCTTAGAATGCACCATATACAATATACATTTAAAAAGATTCCGGGGGTGAAGAATACACAGTCGTTCGTTCTGACAGTCTTGCATCAAGACCCTTGACATTCCCCTATCTACTTTAACAACTGTTGTAAAGCAAGGTTGGTCAAGCACTGGTGATCCACTCGATTACGCTGGTTACCGAAACGGTTCGTTTTGGTAACAAAATGTCGAAACATCGAATGTACGATTTTTATTTTTTCCTTATTTCACGCGTTGTAGGCAGAATCCCCACGACGTTTTTTCTCACAAACGTGTATTAGTATCATATGTTTTAGAATTGCGAAAAAATAGCTCAAAAGACAACAGAATCGTCGATTTAATTCCTCACTTAAGTTACATGAACGGTTTGGGTTAAAAGTGCAGATCTTAACTGTTTTTCGAAAAACCGTTTATGTAACTTAAGTGAGGAATTAAATCAACAATTCTGTTGTCTTCTGAACTATTTGTTCGCAAATATGTACAAGTCATTTTCTTAAACATATGATACTGATACACGTTTGTGTTAAAAAATGTCTTTGGAATTCTGCCTACAACGCGTGAAATGAGGAAAAGAGAAAAATCGTACCTTCGATGTTCCGACATTTTGTTACCAAAACGAATCGTTTTGGTAACCAGCGTAATCGAGTGGATCATATTTGTCAAGGGTAAATATCGTGAATTTGCATTAATTGTTATTCGTTGGACTCAACTCCTTACATTAGTAACAATATGAACGGAAACATGATTGCCGGGGAGAGTACGAAGGTAATGATGTCATCAAGCAGTGGCCATGTATCTGATATGAACGTGGTCAGCACATAGTACATCAGGTCTTGACCCCTGAAACATAGAGGATATCATTATACTAACCACACACTTTGCTCTGGCTTTCCCTGATTTCCATGGTTTTCAGTCAAACATAAAGTATGACACAATCAATGCATATTTTATGAAATATAGTCAGCAATAATCATTTTTTCAAATACTGATATTCGATTGCAAGATTTCTTAGCCTTATTAGTCTAAGCTAAAAGTGGCCCAGAAATGGGAACACATGATACATCTAGAATATGATGAGCACAACTAAATTAGTGTATTTATTTTTAGTCCACGTGCATTCTATATATACCCCATTCCACGATGATTCTGGCAATATGAAATATATCTTATTGGACTTAGTGTTAATGGCCTAGTCACATAGCCCGGCCGATGAGGTTACGATGAGCCAGCGATGCAATTTTCACCGAACACCGGCCGGACACCGGCCGGACATCCGTGGCGTTTGTTGCTTAAAACCGCATCGGTGGTAGCTCGGTGAAATTTTAACTTCGGAGTTAAATCTCACCGGGCTCTCACCGAGCTCCCTCATCATGTCATCGCAGCCCCATCGATGTGGGACAGAGCATCGCCCGATCACTGTTCAAAGCCCGTTAACAACCCGGCCGGCGATCGCACGGTGTCCTGTTACCTGCTCGGGTACCGGCCGTATTCCTTCCGATGTCCGGCCGACCTCCGGCCGGTAGTTGCTGCCACATCGGCAGAAAAAAACTACCATTTTGTACGGTCACCGGCCGGTGTCCGGTCGGTCGCCTGAAGATGTCCAGACGGAGTCCGTTCACGTCACCGAGCTCTGCTTCCGATGAGGAGAGCTCGGTGGCACCATAAAAATCCACCGAGCTCTACCGATGCCGGACATCGGCCGGGCTATGTGACTAGGCCATAAAACACTATATTTGACGATTTAAAAAAAATTTAGTCATGATTTCCGACCTGATATACTAATAATGTAACAGATGAAGAAAATTAAATTATAAACATAAACATAGTATTAAGTACGCATCCTGTGCTTCCAAACACATGGCAAGAGCAGAAGTAGGATTGACAATCTGCAAATCAGTCAGAATTCTGTAGATTGATATCATACACTTAATCTACTCACGCGAAAGGTCCACAGTCAGACGAGGGTTCCAGCATGACAATGGCGATCATAGGGATCAACGTACACAGGAACAGCATCACTAATAACATGAGGTAGTAGAAATTATTGGACCTTGAGGCCCTGAAGATTCTTTCATGGGGGATGTTACACATGGTGACAGCCCAACTACGAATGTACAACATCAAGATCAGCTTCAGGATATTCAACGCCGGTAACCCAGGAGCAAAGAACAACCCCATCCTACAACAAATGTCAAATTATCATGAAAATTTGGAGCAGAAATTGATGATACGACTGCTATAATAATGGTTGTCAAAGTACTAACATTGCCATAATTGTCCTGAAGTGCAGAAATGACATTATTCAGGAATGGCATTATTCAGGCCATATACAGTGATAATGTAATGGAAGGTCCATACGTTCATTTACACATTCCACAAACATTACTTTAAAATATTAATTAATCAAGATGAGAAAAATATGGTTTACCATATCATTCCTTGGTTGTTGATAAGATGTAGAATATTCTCAGCTATTTTAAACTCTCCATATTCCGGCTGTAAATATAAATTGCGAACTTTCCGACCAACATTTTATTTGAACATATTTGAACAGGTAAGATTTCATTTGAAAGAATTCATATAAGTGCTATCAATATGCATTGATTTTTTGAAGGATGAAACGGAAAGCATTAGCCCCAGACAGAATAGTACATTGGTACAAAAAGCGTTGAGATTTCAAGCTTAAGCCAACTCACAAATTTAGTCTCGAGGTCCCAGCATGGCCAACATGGATGCATGTATCTCGTAAAGAGACCACGGAGGAAGTCGATGACCAAGATACCTCCAACAGTTGTCACCAAGTCCATGATTGTCAACTTAAACATCTCCTAAAGTAAGGAACAAAACAATATTTAATTCTATTTTCTAGTCTCGCATCATTTAATAATTACCTATAATATTTACAGAGACTGACACCTGAAATACCCTCTGTCTTTTACTATCGATATCATCGATATCTGTTAGACGAAGTGTCGCATATTATTATATTATGGGCATTGCATGATGAGACCATTTTTACTTGAAGTGATACAACGAAATTATAATAAAGATGTCGTCCAAAAAAACTTTATACATATTAACGACCCTATATATCATTAAATTATGAGCACAGTTCCAATTTATCAAGAAATATCAAACTCATTAATTATTAAATTGGGCATATCTGGTCAGTTTTTTTTATCTGAACATGGGCTTTCTAATTGAAAGCCCATGATCTGGATATCTGAATGAATATTTGATCAAAATGAATATTGAATAGTTTCGTACTTGCCCCACCAGGGTCTCCCAGCAGAATTCAGGGACGTCAACCACTGACGAGGTACAATTTATAGCGCCAGACAGCACCGATGTGGTATTGTCATAGGCAACTGTGGAGTTTGATAGACTCGGAAGCACTGTACAGTTACTAAGTGAGGTATTTAATGCTGCTGCCCTGGCCAATTTGTCTTGGTCTTGCAGGAATCGCACCTTCTCGTACAGAGAGATGAACAGAGTGTACAAGTTAAGTAAGTAGAGAACTAGGATCCTACAAATGATTAAAATACAATACAATACAATATAATATAGAATACAATGAAATACAATTGTTTCTACAAAATATACATGTATATGGAACCTAATATGGAACTTATGCATTAAGACATTTTAAACTAAAAGATGAGCTAGGTCATTATACGAGAAATACGATTATACTAGAAATATGATGAATTGATTGACGCCGTGTGGTATTGATATCATAACAAAACATCATATTATATCTTACGAGTATCGTGTATCTCTTGATATATCGTAGAAAGTAGGATATGATGATTTCCCTTGAATCTTATATGATACGTATGTGCTGTTGCTTGCCAAATCACTTACCTTGCTAACTGCCATCTTAACTGCACTCGGGGATGGTATTTCTCCATCATTCCGATGAAGTCAAATATGGAAGGGTAGATGAGTGTGATTAATGCTATAACTGTTGACACCTTCAAATAAACGAAAAGACAGTAAAAGACAAAACACAATGCAAAGGAGCATTTAATAAATTATATCATAGACTGACAAATTATGTAATGATTTACCTCATTCTGACGCCACCAACCGACGTCTATGCCGTCCCTGAGGTCCTTTTCTGTTTGTCTCGAGTTTTGTACTACGATCTGGATAGCAAATGTGCTAGAGGCGAGAACCATGAGTACTAAGATATTCGCTAGTACTCTTAGAAACCGCGTCAAGTGGCTAAAATAATAGTTTGAAATAAAATCATGATAGAAGGTGATTGAAGAGCTGATTCTATGTCTTTGGGATGATCCTATTGCACACACTGAAAAGAACATTGACTAGCAGAGAATAAAGTTGAAACACATGAGTATGTCAAATGCAAATGTGAAAATGACCATTTCATCACACAGCATTCCGATTTTATTGTAATAATTTGCCCTTACATGTTCTCCTCTCTCCGCTTTTCTTCTTCCTCTACTATTGCCTCTTTGAATGTAGTTGTGATGGCTGCACGTTTGTTGGTCGCAGCTTCATTGTCACCTACATGAGGGCATAATCACCATGATAACATACATTGAAAGAGATTAAGTTCTAACAATACATCGATTCACAGATGATTTAGACTTAAAGTAGTCGAATGGATGTCGGTTTATGATAAATATGATGAATTTGTTTAACAAAAACGCGATCTTTTTTCAGCTCAAATTTTGCACCAATGCACAACTGATTATTGAAAAGGGACCAAAATTAAAGTAATAAGTGGTGTGTTTACCATAAGAAAAACTCATTAGTATATATATATATATATGTATGTGTTTGAATACTAGATTGTTTGTACACTATACAGAGATACTGAAACATAAACAACGTACCTATTGTGTAGTCCCAACTTGTAAATAGCTTCCAGGAGAAAGTATAGCTCTCTTCTTTTCCCGAAAGCTTGTTCATCTTCGCATTTTTAGCCATTCTACAAATGTTATACAAACATCTCCAAACAATGTCTCATAGTATATAGTATAATTCTAAGACTTTAGACAGAATGTGATCGTGCTTCCATGATATATTATCAGTATATGATCCATTTCATCCCATTATAGTCCTAGGACCCAGGTCATTGAGAGATGGTTTAAATGGTTAGAGTCATCATTATAACTCCGATATGTTCTTAAACAAAAACACGCTGGCTGATTATTAAAAACGTAAAAACCCCAAAAAGTTCAACTTACGTTCTGAGAAGAGATACAAAGTTGTAGGCATACGTTCCAAGTCCAGCTAGAAGATATGCCAATGGAAGTCGGTACCCATTACCAATAAACGTTGCATTACCATAGTATCCATAAAATAGTGGCGAATACTTCAAATATCCCTAAAATAAAAGGATGATACAAAAATAGTGCTCAAATGTGTACATTTGGTGGATTATTTTAATTTGGAGCGTAATGTATATTGAATATGCCGGCATTGATATTTTATGAAATAAATACCAGGTATTTGTTCTTCTTACCTCAAAGTCCCAAAGGCTGGCCAATGTTAGTGCACGGTCACGTTCATCAGCTGGAACAGTCTTATGGCCTGAACTATCACCAACCAAACACTGACATAGACAGAATATACAATGACACATTACAGTATATGAATATAATAAACATGGAAAGGAAGAAAAATACAAAGAAACTGCTGATTAAAGACTAAACCTTTTTGATCATGAACATATATAGATGATCCACAATGTACAGGGCGTTCAATACGTATTGCTAATTTTGCTATAACTTTTGTTCTGTTTGCTTTGTCTTCATGAAACTTCCCCAACATAAGATACATATATCTGACTTTATGCTATGGAAGTTTCAAGACAATCGAATCAGTATTATTAAAGTTATGTTTACTAAGGTAACCAGTATCATGGATATGCGGGGCAAATTTCTGACGTCACTTTGGACGACATTTTGAGTGTTGAAAGCACTTACTTTAACTACCATTTAATGCCGTTTAACTCTTGGGATATGCAGTGCAGTCATATATAATCCATTCCAGAGTCACTTCATGATCCATATTAACTTCATGAGGTGCCCAAAACAGGCAGGCATCCTTAACGTCAATGCGCAGTTGCTGTCTGGCGACCCACTCGTGGTACACATTTTTGAAGCCACCCTTAAAGTGTGTGGCTAGGGAGGTGTTACTGCAGACATCAGCTGATTGAGATTCTGGTGCGATATTCCTCTCAAATCCCTTTTTACTGAGGCGAATACAACAAAATCAAGTGGGGCCTTATCTAAAAAATATGCTGCGTGGGGCAATGCTTCTATGCCAAGCTCTGTTATTGTATTTAGGAGAGTAGAGGATCTGTGAGCAGGGGCGTTATCCTGGTGGACCGTATACTCTATGTCGATATTGCTCCCTGAGGACGTTGAAGTGTGTGGCTAGGGATGTGCAGTGTTCACTGCAGACATCCGCTGATTGAGATTCTAGTGCGATATTCCTCTCAGATCTCTTTTCACCGCTGTTAGATAATACATATAATTCAAACTGCCAACATCAAGATTTGACCATATCAACAGTTTTTATTCATCAAAGTGTTTATTTGATGTATAACAATAATTCATTATGTAAACCCTTAAGGTTGCCCCGCGTATCCGTGACATTGGTTACCCTAGTAACCATAACTTTGTTAATTATAAGTCGGTTGTCCAGAAATTTGGATAGAATAAGGTCAGATATGTGTTGCTTATCTTGTAAAAGTTTCATGGAGAAATATGCAAGATAACAAAAGTTATAACAAAATTAGCAATACTTATTGAACGCCCTGTAAATGTGGGACCCGGAAGACATGAATCGTATATTCATAACATGCTCTCTGAGAAATCCGATTACATTTAGTCAAAGCTAAAGTATTCCCTGAAATGGGAAGAGAGAATTTTTACTTGTTCATGATACAGGTCTGTAAATCAAAATCAATTCTGATGTTTCTAAACTGGTCGTAAACGTTATTACGAAACAGCACACACGATCAGGATAACAGAAACTTGAGGAAAGGAAACAAATACTGTGAAGCGGAAATGAGATTTCACTTTTTTGTCTTTTCAAGTTATGTTTTAAATGGAAGACCTTATAAAAATGCACAGGTGTCTTTATACAGGGCGTTTCAGAACGACCGTGCCCCCATCCACAGTCAAACCTAGATCAATATACCATAATAATCAATAATAAAGCTTATTCAATTCTGGACTTATGTGCCAAATATTAGCACGACTGGTTATTTGGAACATAATTTGTGAACTTATGTTTGAGAGTCACTCTCCCCTCAATTGGCATGATTTGTGCTACTATTCCTCATGGATTTGAGGAACAGATCGCTATATTATCCATTGTACTACTAGTGTCTGGTGCTCTCTGGATATTTCTTTTCAATATTTGATATGTTTGTCTTTCTGGTGCTCTCTGGATATTTCTCTTCAATATTTGATATGTTTGTCTTTCAAATATCATCAAGGTATATCCTGAGCTAGTCAAAATTGTCTCATTAAGTCAAGAATTGACCGAGCTTTCATAAATATACCATAATAAAGCTTATTCAATTCTAGACATATGTGCCAAATATTAGCACGACTGGTTTTTTGGAACATAATTTGTGAACTTATGTTTGAGAGTCACTCTCCCCTCAATTGGCATGATTTGTGCTACTATTCCTCATGGATTTGAGGAACAGATCGCTATATTATCCATTGTACTACTAGTGTCTGGTGCTCTCTGGATATTTCTTTTCAATATTTGATATGTTTGTCTTTCAAATATCATCAAGATATATCCTGAGCATCCATCAAATGTTATAAGTTGTACATTACTATAGATAGTGTATTAAGACATGGTTATCATAGCTATTTGCAAAGCACATATCTAATTTTGGACAAAACACATTGCTTTCAGATTCTATGATAAAGGTAAAATGGGTACCTTTTTGGTATATGTTGCAAATTGTAAAAACTGTCGAGCTAGATTAAAATTGTCTCATTAAGTCCAGAATTGACCGAGCTTTCATAAATATACGAGTATAACATATGGGGGTATCCTATTTAGGATTGTAGGTTGATGGTGGGGGGGACGATCATTATGAAACACCCTGTAGTTTACCTCGGGTAAGATGATAAATCCAACGGTGATTGCAGTTAAGACGATGTTGCTCCACAATAAGGCGCGAATAAACGTGAAGTAAGACGCTACCATCGTTCCAAAGTGGCCTAGAAAATTTAAAACGTATACCAAATGAAACAAATACCAAAAATCTTGTACATTCTGATCTTGAACATTCTAATTCAAAGTGGGAAACCCTTCTATAATTGTTCCACGTGTCTTTCTCGACTACAATATTACTTGTTTTACTAGTTTGATTTGGACAATTGGAACAATCAGAAGCCATTTCTTAATATATGCAAACACTGTTTCAAGCAAGGAAAAAGCTATTTCTGGATAAACTGTGACAATGCATTTTACTGCAGCTATTTTGCATATTAATAGATACAAAATCCAGTGTCAAATAACCAAGTTACCCGCCATCTATACTTGCACCTGGTAACGTCATTGAACGACATATTTACATGCGCATTTATGATTTAATAACTTACTCTCAATAGCTTTTATTCTCATTTCCCATGGTGTAACTGTGACAACAAGCTCTTCATAAGCTCTTTTACTGCGCCAGAGAAACTACAATTTTTGTTCCATTGTGTTAGTATAATACATTGCTAAAAGGTACACAGAACTATCAATAAACTTCAACAGTGTTCAATTCATTCTAATGCTTCAGAGTTAGAATGAATTCAGTTTTAATCTAAGTTATTTGGTTCTAATCTAGTGTATGGTGTAATTTTTCATAATTGATTTCTTGTCCATTGTTTGCTTACCTTTTCCCATTTCTGCTTATAGCTCTGTCCTTTGGATAATTTCCCCTCATACCTCTCTACATACGACTTAGCCAGCCTGAAGAACAGATTAAGTGTTATCGAACAACAATTTCCATATCTTAATAGTAATGATATTTGCTTTACATCAACAGTCATTATGTGATTCGTTATTGACATCATTTCGTTGAGGGTTTGCACTACCCTAGTTCTTAAGGATGTTCCCTTGAGGTTGGAAATTTTAAACTTTTCTCAGGTATCGTATACAGAGACTCCAATAAATATGTTAATGTATTTTTCTTAACTAGCACCCAAAGTGTCAATACTTGACAAAAGTGGGCGTGACACTTCTAAATAAAATTAGATTTTCTCTCCCCAACACACTTTGGAGTGTTTAACTTTTTCTTGAACTCTCAAAATTTTCTAGATTTGCAGAAAACAGTGTTACTTATATTGTATTTTACTTGCATCTTAAGATTTAGAGAAATGATTGATTGAGATTTTTTTGTAAAACAGAGAGGTGATTTTTGGTCAACCTGTATATCTACTATTCTGCTTGGTTGAATTGATTCTCTTTCTTACTTCAGAGTCTTCAATTTCTTCATCATAGGCCATGGCTGGGCGTTGAGGTGAGCCATAACGTTCTTCTGGAGATTAATTGTCTCAACTAGTTTACCTTCTGCATCTTCAGCGTTGTCATCAGGTGCTGCCTCTGCCGTATCAGTCCTAAATTGAGAGAACTATACAGTTTTATTTCATTTGTTTAGCTTCTTAATACCCAGATCTTTTCACCGACATTTGCAGTATTTGCAGATATACCGGCCATTTGCACAGGGTTTGTTTTAAAATATGTGTAATGGGTCAGCCTTTACTATGCAATACTAACATTGATTTTGAGATTCTTAATATTTCAAATAATACATTATTTTGAGTGATCAATGAATTGCGTTTCCTATATCTCCAGTTAATTTTGAGTTGCTAAATGATATTTAAAACATTAATGCTAGGTAAAATGCCTTTCTCTGATCTGATTCAATAAGCACAACACACTGGTTTCTCCCGATCCAACCCGCGCTAAAGAATTGAAGGCAATGGTTACCATTGATTCCAGTTGACCTATCATATACAAGTCTAATCACTAATACCAGGGCTGCTTAAAATATGATGAATATGATAAATAATCTTTTTTTCTAACCTGGCGACGCCGCTTGCATCGATGACACTTTTAGAAAGTTCCAAAATTGATGGCATAGATTTGTAAATCCAATGTTCATGGAGTCTGCCATTTTTAGTTTTGTCGATGAATCCTCGATCATATTTCTTAATGCACTTTGTTTTTGTTAAATGTTTTGTGTTCTGAGAAGGATTCATTTTAATCCCGGGTTTCATCGTATCTTCTGTTTTCGTGAACATCAGGTTGAATGTAACTGCAACCTGGTGTAGCGTCATTCATCATTTTTATCAGTACGTAAATACGCTTGATAATCTCTATCAATATTTAAACTTAGATACCTTTTTGTGTCCAGCGACGTTTTGTTTTGTATTTGCGCTATACTTCAAATTGCTATTTGAAAGACAATAGAGTATGAATAGTGTATTGATGTGCAAAAAGGATTCTGTTTTATAAAACCAATGTTACGCCGTTTTTTCAATTTCTGGTTCATACGGAATGTTTTATGATTATCAAATGCAATTGTGAGTCAAGTGGAATCTATGTGATGAAATAAAAGACGCAATTAATCTTCGATGGTATTTATATGAAACCTTTTCTAGTAGTGTTCAATGGCGACGAGCAAATGAAAAATATTATTGTCGAAGGTGGTGGAAATTTTCATACTAGTAGATCAATTACTGAGGTTTTCAATTGAGATGGTTATCAATACATGACCAATTTCAGTTGAATTTCGACATATAAGTTAACAAAATGGCAAATAAAATAATCAAATTTGAGCACTCATATCGAAATTTCTTTGAGCAGATCGATGGGGAAGTTTTTTGAATACTCATATCATAAATAATGCGTACCTTGCAGAGAGTGCTCCTCCGTCATCTAGTGAGGAATTGACACTTAGTTGTCTTTTTCGGGCTGTCCGTCTGCGTCGTGACCCTCTCCTATCTCTGTTGTCTCTCAGTTTCTTTATCATTTCATTCAGATTATCTTCTATTTCTCCATCAACTTCAATGTCCTCAATGTCAAGCTTTGTGTCAACGACGTCCAATATTGAAGCAGTTGGACCACTTGTAGGATTTCGGGATTTGTTAGGGATATGATCACTTAATGGATGCTCGTCAGGATCAATGATGTTAATATCTGGAGTTATACTTCTACCATGATTGAAGTTAGTTTCCTTGGTGTCACATTCAGGTTTTTCATCAGGGGGCATTGGAAACACATCTTCTTGTAGTTTTATCGACATCATCGCATCATGTGATGATTTTACACTTGTGGGTTTTGCTCCATCACCCCGGAGTGGAAGGTCTATAGTATCTGTCATTGTGGACACTTTTGAACGTTGGGGCCTGTGATGGTCCTCCTGCGTATACAATTCTGGTTGATTCAGTTTGTTAGATTTATCATTTTGAGAACGGTACACATATGAGTGTTTTATAATCGGATTTCGAAGGTTTTGATTTTTAAATTCAATCGCTTCTTTTGTGCTATATGAATCAACATCCCAATCATTTGATTCTCTATGTAAGACATCTCTATAGCCACTGTTTTCTAGATTTACAAAGTTACGTATAGGGTCTCTAGCATGATTTGTGGGAACAAATCTGAGCTCTCTCTCATCATGCGTGTCTTCATTTAACGTCCGTAATTGTCCATTGTATTCTTTTTTAACTCGTCCACTAAGGGGCTGATTTAGGTTTTGTGAGGGGCACTCTAGTGAAGCGCCATCCTTTGTTGGCTTATAAAAATCGTGTTCTTGTACAAGATACCTGTGGTCTTTCCTGATGTCACCATTGACAGGAGATGGTTTAGTTACAGGATTTCTGATAAAATATTTGAACTTAGAGCCACTATTAGCAGTGTTTTCAAGCTTATTTTGTCTCTCTTTATTCGTGTACAGACTCTGTTTATTTATCGGAACAACGCGGTCAAAGAATGCAGTATTATAGTCTGTTAAAAGAACATCGTCTTGGCTCGTTGGTAAACTTAGGCTGTCAAGAGATGTTTTGCTTTGGGACCAGGGTGAACTGCCGAATGTCTCCTTTAATCGTCTCCTCCACTCATGATCTGTGGAAAGTGTTGGCCCTAAAACGAAAATCACGGGATGAAGCAATACAACACAAAATGGGTTGGGTGCATAGGGGTCTTGGAAGTTCATATACGATATATTTTTAAGTCTATGAATGTCAATTGCAATAGCACAATTTACAGAAGGCGAGAATCCATATACTATCAAATGTTGGGAATACAATGTACATGAAGTTAGGGAAATCATGTCAAACCAACCAGGAAAACTTACCCACTAGACTAATCCCTTATTTTCTGATTTTTATATTCTATCCTGAATGCAGTTTCGAAAGACATGGCACATCTTATCTGTCTACGTATAATAATAGTTTATATCTATGGTTTTTATTTTTGTAATATAGAATTATGGTCACTTAAAATGGACAATTGTAAATATGTCTTGTTAATGTGAATACCAAATGATGCAAACTCTAGTTTTCAAATAAAATCTAACTAAATCTAAGAGTATAATCTTACAAGCACAATCGGTTAACGCTTTCGGTTATTTTCATTCGTTTGTCTTGTGCCAAACCTTAAATCCTTATGTACTTGTCATTTATTGATCACTTGCTATTTTGTAATGATTCTAGGGTTCTCTGAATCTCGATAAGAAACTTGCGCGAATTCGCTATTGAGTAATATGTGCCATTTTCAACTTGACCATGATTTCTTGATTATTTAACATAGGGTCCCGAATCTAATTGGAATCAGATCTGGTATCTAAATAATGTAACTGCAATATTGGATCATCTAGGTATGATTCCAAGGCCCTCTGAATATCAATAAAACTTTCAAAAAAACTCTGAAGGGTCAAAGAATTTTCCCAACTCACTGGCGGATCTGGGGGGGGGGGCCCAGGGGCCCGGGCCCCCCCCCCCCCTTGGGTGGGCCCAGAAAAAAAAAATTGTGCCCAAAAAAAATTTTGAGCCAAAAAAGGCCTTAAGGCCCCTAAAAGTAGGCCTTTTTGGTCATAAATTGGCCTTCTAAGGCCTTATTTTTTAATTTTAGGCCAAATTTTGAAGAAAATGGGCCTCTAAATTCCAAAATTTGGGCCCACTTTTGGGTTTTTGGGGCCCAAAATTTTTTTTCCGCGCAAGCGCGGAAGTTTTTTTCTCAGACTAGAAGTTTGGGCCCCCCCCCTTGTTGGTTCCCAGATCCGCCCCTGCAACTATTATGTAATACAGTATACGATATACCTATATACTAACCTCACCATAAAAAAGTTAAAAATAAAAATCACGATTCATGCATTATTGATAATAAAGCTGAATTTATCTTTTTGTGTTCCATGAATGACGCGTATTAGTTTTACATGGTGAAGTTGAAAATCATCTCATGCAATTTGCAATAAGGGCAATTTGAAGTCATGCAAAGTAGGATGACATAGACCTATATGATAAAAATAAATTCTATAACGTTTCAATAAACACAGTTGAAGGACTTTCTGGCTTTGCCATTGTTTATCTAGACATTAATTGTGCATTAAATAAAGCGCAGTGCAAAAAGCAAATGCTCATGGTAAAAAATGTTACAAGTTATGGGCTGCTAAAATTGTAATTAATAAATCAATCGAGTATTGAAAATCGCCATTCGCCACCTCATTTAATTACCTTTAGAAATTTTAGTTGTTTTATTCATTGGTAACAGGTACACATCGATAACTCAGATGAAAGTAGGTTGGTGTGTTTCATTATTCAAAAATGTTCTCAGATCGCAACGGCCCTTTAACACGGGATTACAAGTCGAGATCGGAGACCATTTTTGAATCATGAATCACCCTACAGTACTAGTTACCAGTTTCACCACCAAGTGGCTAACTCGGGTCAAATAGCGTGGCTGATAAAGTAGAAAGTTCCCATAAACCAAAAAAACGTGAATATTCATTAGTTTTATGGATCAATTTTCACATTACCCTTATGGGTCTAATAATCATAACTGACATACATAACTCTATTTAGGCCAAGCACACTAAAGTACAACAAGTCATTAAAAAGCACATGCGAAGCCTTTTGACTCACTCCTCCCGTAAGCCATCGGGGCTTTTTCATATGACATCTGGAATAAAGCATCATTCATCATTATCATTGTTATGACGATTCTCTTGATACTCGGAACAATACTCGCCCGGAATTGCTACCTCAAATAGCAAAGAGGACGTATGAATTATTTAGTATTCATAATGCGAATCCAATTAGTGCAATTTTTATCCACATGAAGATAGTAAGTTCTGTAAATGCAAACAATAAACATAGACTATATTGGAACAATAAAACGATTTGACAGTTGTCGATATTGCATTGGTGATGTCAACATGTCTTGCTAGTCCAGTTAGATGAGATATCAGAATGATAAAATATCAATTAAAATCTAAAAAAATCTATTCTATGATTATAGCCTTTATGAAATGTAAAGTACTGTTGATACAATTTCTGCCGGTGCAGATTAAAAGTGGTATAGAAGAACGGGGACATATAATATATAAAACAACTGAAAACTGTCCCTGCATTTAAATTTTTACTGGTCAACCTCTGACATTATTTTATATCAAAAATGAGTACCTTGAAATCTATGCCGTCAGCCACATTAGTTTCCTTCATTGTAGAATTTGTATCGGATTCATCTAAAATGAATAAAGTTATTACCAGATTTCCCAATGAAGTCTCGAGTGGTGATATTTGATAAAAGCAAACATCCAAAATGTAATGAAGTATAGTGATAAGTTAGTAATCGAAAAAAAGATATTTGTAGTTTTGCACGATTTTAGTACAAGTATTTATAAAAATCATGAAAAGTCATGTTGGGACGACTCTTGGTATTGAAAATTATCTTTCAAAAGGTATCTTGATCGCTTTTAGCCTGGGGGGGGGGCATTAACAGAGACTTTGTAAAGTTAGAGATTCCTAAAGTCCATTGTGCTCGAACTATGACGTAATCAAATCAAATGACATTCACGGAATTTTCTCATGTTTTTGACATTTCTCGACATCTGATACACATTCTATTCTGTAGTGGGATATCATCTAGCTGTTTACCATGGCTAGCAACAAAATCCTGGCCATTTTCACAAATCAATTAGAGTAAGAATAATTATGATTTTCGCCAACAATATTTATGACCATTGGCCATTGACTATAAAAATAACGCTGCAAATCCCGATTTAAAAAATATCAAAATCTTGGGATTGTTAAAATCACATGTGCAACTAAATATTTACACAAAAAGTTGAGCCCATTGATAAAAGGAAAAATGTGAAAATTACAATTTATGATAATGTCATTTTCATGCTGTAAATTTTAAATCATGATACCGTTCATGATATCGTTCGAGCGATTCTTTGAAATCCTTTACTTTACCAAGAAAGACCTTTTTCAATTTTGACATTTAAATTAAAAGAATTAATAGAAAATATTAATATGATTGAAACTTCCTTACCTGTCAATCGTGTGTCTGGTTCTTAAGTCCAAATCAGTGGGAATAACGTTTATTGTGATTTTCCCAGAATAATTGATTTTTAAGTGAGAACTTGGCACTGGATTGTTTCCAAACCACTTACCTCTCATCGAACACGATTTTATTTCCATGTAATACAAGATGTAGCATTATTGCAATTTATCAGTGCACCTAAACATACGGAACGTTTACTTTTAGTACCTCTATCTAATCAATGAACATGATTGGCCGACTGTGATCACGTGTAATTGGATTGAAGTTCTGGGAAATGATGTCCTGTGTTTAGAATTGTTTTAGCTATCATAAGATGAGTTTAACCTCCATCGATCTGTGCCATTTAGACTTTGCCTAATTCCACTTCAATCAGTTGTACAACTTAACTTCAGCGTGAAACTGCTATTTGATTTTGGGGTTGGGCTCATAATAAAATGAGCAAATGTCTTAATTTTTGTTTGATGAAATTCATCGCAGAGATTAGGACAATCGATAATCCATTATAGTATTGGTTGTTAAATTGGCTTATCGAGAGAAGTCCCACTGAAACCTCGTATTGTGATCAGATGAAATGAATCCATTGTCTTTTAGAAGTACTTTCACAGGGTTGATATCATCGAGTATTGAATAGCCTGGTCATCCATTCTAAATGAGTACCATTCATTCGAACGTATTGTGGCACAATAATAGAAAACAATTGCACTTATTAACAAATTATTTTGTTTATTTCTATCGTTGATATCGTAACAGATATTTCATGAGATCAAATATTGCGAAAATATACTAACTAATAATGAACAAACTTTTGAGATATTTCCTGAATGATTGCAGACCCACTTATGATTAAGTGTTTGTGAAGTGCTCTTTGACAGATCAATTAATGATTATGCATATGAAGGCATAGCTGGTTTGGTAACCTATTGATTCGTCAGTGTATGGGTTTGACCAGAACGACCCGTGGGTGCCTACGGTCCGGGGCAGGTCTAATGCCGAGCATCGTGTCACAATGCCAAGGTTTGACCAGAACCTAGTGTAACGCCCCGGGGTGCCTTCGGTCCGGGGCAGGTCTATTGCCGAGCATCGTGTCAAAATGCCAGGGTTTGAACAGAACCTAGTGTAACGCCCCGGGGGTGCCTCCGGTCCGGGGAAGGTCTAATGCCGAGCATCGTGTCAAAATGCCAGGGTTTGAACAGAACCTAGTGTAACGCCCCGGGGGTGCCTCCGGTCCGGGGCAGGTCTAATGCCGAGCATCGTGTCACAATGCCAGGGTTTGAACAGAACCTAGTGACGTGTCGCAAAAAGGTGGCGCATTTGTTTTTTAAGGGTATCGCGTGAATGTAACTTTGATTCTCCTGATTATAAGATAATATTTTAATTAAAGTTATATATCATTTTAAAGCTGTTTCGATGAAGATTTTAGATCAAATACACTCCGTTCACATTTTTTGCGCGTTCGTTTTTAAAAAAGAGTTTTTTACCAAAACATCTGGCAAATATCCCAAGTTGACACTTTACATTTTGAATTATTTTTCGTCTTTAAACGCTCATAACTCAAACAATATATGACTATTATACTTATTTTTCGTCTTGATAAAGGTAGATGGAAGTTTTATTTCAAAGGATGAATTTTAGTAAGCGTCCCATATTGTGACGTCATAGAGTCTGAAAAATAGAATATGTTGACAGCGACCTTTTTTGCTCATTTTTTGGTACCTTCAACTTTTCAGGTGTACATTAAACAAAAAATACGAGATCAATTTTTAATAAATCATACATGATTATTTTGCTCCTAAACTCTAGTTTATTAATAAATAGTTGATTTTGTTCACAAAAGTATGTGTTTTCTGTTGTATGTGGAAAAGTGGAGGACGAAAGGTTTTCAAAATTCATTAAAGTAGGGCTAATTTACGCCATTTGCCTATTTTCAAGCACAGCAACAAGTATATTTATTTCACCTAAAATATCAATTGATTCGTGTTTTATGATGCTCCTAGCCCATTAACAATATATATATGATATCAGAGTTATTCGTCTAAAATGTTTTGAGATATAGAGGTAAATGTGGAGGACGAAAGGATTTTCATGTGTGTACATTTTTCTCAAAAACGTCACATTCTATCATGTTAAAAGCGAGGATCCTCTGGATTACGCCACAAAATGTGTAACAATGCGTGCGCGAGCTTTTTGCGACACGTCAGTGTAACGGCGAGGGTGCCTCCGGTCCGGGGCAGGTCTAATGCCGAGCATCGTGTCACAATGCCAGGGTTTGAACAGAACCTAGTGTAACGCCCCGGGGGTGCCTCCGGTCCGGGAAATGTCTGATGCTGAGACACGTCACAAAAAGCTGGCGCACTTGTGTTTTTAGGGTATCGCATGAATGTAACTTTAATTCTTCGGAATATAAGATATAGGTATATCTAGCGATATCCCACGCTCCCGGGAATTTTCAAAGAATTTGTTTTCGTTCAGTGTAAATAATTTAGTTCAGTTTAAGTCAAAATGGCAGACGAACCGAGTAGATTCGTAAAAATATCTGAAGACTTAATGACTTAATAATATTAGGGATGTTTAGCTAGACAGTGATATATTAAAATAAATATTTCACTCTATTTTCGGTGAATACCTGTAGCACTTTCACAAGGTGATATTCCACTTGCCCTTCGGGCTTCGTGGAATATCACTTGTGAAAGATGTACAGGTATTCACCTCAATAGAGTGAAATATTTGTTCAATATTCTTATTAAAATTATATATCAATACTGCTGCTTTAATGAAGTTTTCAAATCAAGAACACTTCTCTCACAATTCTTGCGCGTTCTTTTTTAAAAAAGAGATTTTTACCCAAATATCCGCTGTCGACACGTTACATTTTGAATAATTTTTCGTCTTTAAACGCACATAACTAAAACAATTTTAACTATTATACTTTATTTTCGTCTTGATAAAGGTAGATGGAATTGTTATTTCAAAGGATGAATTCTAGTGAGCGTCCCATATTGTGACGGCATATAGTTTGAAAAATAGAATCTGTCGACAGCGACCTTTTTGCTCATTTTTGTTACCTTCAACTTTTCAGGTGTACATTAAACAAAAAATACCAGACCAATTTTTAATATATCATACATGATTATTTTGCTCATAAACTCTAGTTTATTAATAAATAGTTGATTTTGTTCGCAAATGCATGTATTTTCTGTTGTATGTGGAAAAGTGGAGGACGAAAGGTTTTCAAAATTCATTAAAATAGGGCGAATTTACGCAATTCACCTATTTTCAAACACAGCAACAATAATGCTACTAACCCATTGTCAATACATATACGATATCAGAGTTATTCGCCTTGAATATTTTGAGATATAGAGGTAAATGTGGAGGACGAAAGGATTTCCCTATGTGTACATTTTTCTCAAAAAACGTCACATTCTATGGTGTTAAAATGTGTAACAATACGTGCGCGGACTTTTTGCGACGTGTCTGAGAATCGCGTCGTGTAACCATGCCAGATACAGGTATGGAAGAAAGTGTGCTTAATTCAACCCACGTATGGGACTGGGGATCGAACCTTGGGGCCCCAGATTCGATGCCTGAGCTATCACTTAAAATCTTGAGTAGGATAGCTTTTGCTATAATAGCAACATGCTACTATCCATGGTGTTACATTAGGGTACAGTTCATCATCCTAACCAGAACGCTCATATTTTTCAATGATTTTACCCTGGGGTCTTAATTCTAAATTTGAGTCCAAAATATGATTACATGTATGTAAACCTTTAACCCAAATACCGCTCAAGATACGATACATGTAAATGCTATTTGTGTGCGATCCCGGGGTGCAATCACTCAATTTATTCTACAACAACGCCTTTCTGTTGCACTCAATTTCAATTTAGAAATTTACAATTAAATAGATGGCGAAATGGGTAATTTGTGTGCCAACAATGGAATTAACACTGATAGATGGCAAGGCATATTAAGATATTTACAAAGCTGCTGCATGCCGGGTGCTGCCCATCATCCACCCACTAAGAAGCCCGAATTTAACCATTCATTCAGTTCTTTGTTCGGGATGCCAATAGATGCAGTCACATTGATTACTTCATAGCCTTCAAATGGATCCATTTAGCAATTTCAGGGTCTTGAAAGTATTGCAAAATATCAATTAGAAAGGTACTAATAACTGACAATATGGAGTTTGCACTGCTTTTTGAATTTCAATTTTACATCACATTGGTAATTGCTTCATAAAATAAGGGAATTAAAACACATCTCACAGAGAATTTTCTGACATGCAAAAATCCAATTCTTAAAAACAACTTTTTCGAAAGGTGTATTTTAAACGATGATGATGTAAACGTGCGAAGTATTCTTCCCCATCGTATTCTTCCCCATAACGTCATCAAACAGAGATATGTGAATCTTCTTTTTCATTTCAAATTATGTTTTGAGGAACTAATTAAGTGTTTGGGGGGCTGTCGAGTTGCGTCAATGGGTTTTATTAAAACGCAGCGTCTTAGACTGACCATCGTAACCCCGGGGATCGCGGTGTCTACACTCACACCCCTCCCGGCGATGACCAGTCTAACAGACAAGCCTATGCCATCTAACCAACCGCACACACCTTGTTTTGTTATTTTATTGGGAGAGGGGCCTAGGAAATTAATAAAGTGTTTATTTATTTATCCAATTGGAAGTAAATAATTATTGCATTTGTGACCTGGAAACTTTTGTTGCAAAAAGGTCCGAGATTAAAATATTTGAAAATTTTATCGAACCAAATTACTTATTATAAATAGCTATGGAATGACTATTAAGTCTAAGTGCTTAGTTAAAGTGGCAACAAGGCCTGTAGAGAAAAATTGAGAAAATCACTTTTTTCTGAGATATCAGGGCAACGTTAACATTTCTTTGTCAGACCTAAAATGTATGGAAATGTCGATCTATTTCAGCATTTAGAAGTGTAATTAAGATTAAAGTTGCCATAAGAGGAAACCCACTTATAGATTTTTAAGATATACCGTACTGCATTTCAAGATTTTAACTGCAGGAACTTCAGCTAAAATAACGTTCATTCGAGGAGTTTCTTTACAGATAATAATGAAAAAATATGTTAGCCTTGATGAAATATCCAAACTTCGATATATTTTGACACTGGATCCATGATCGTTGGATACATCTCCACTAATCGTTCAACCTTTAATAACTTTCTGTGCAAATCACAGTCACACTTGGCTTTTGGGATTGTCTAATTAAAGACATGCACGTAATAAATTAGATGAATTACAACAAGGCAGGTCCATGTCACACTTTTATCTTTATTTCTCTATTTTTGTATAATATACATACATACTTTCAGAAAATACAAATGTTTATAATGGGAAACTATTACAGGAGATTATGTAACAGAATTAATTAACATAGAAGACGCTACATAGTCCTTTAAGGCCCAACAGAAATATGGTCCCCCATGGATTATTTCCCCTTTCTTTCGGTGTTTCTTTAAGACCCTTACTGGCCCTGCTTGAGCATAACTGTATAAAGAGAAATATCTTTAATTAAGATCACTAAATAAACCAATGTTAAAGAGGACATACATTCGGTAAGAGCGACACCTATGTCTCTACACTGGAGATTCATCATTTAAAATATTTTTGTTATCAATGAAATATGAATTAGAAACGGACACTTAAATTGCCATATGATATACAACTAGGGATGCCCACATTTGTTGGACTATCCTTTCGATCAGTACAAAATACTTGGATAACTTACTATATTCTATAACTTCACCTTTTTTACTCAAAAATATGTACCTATACAGGTAATAAGAAATTACCTCTTAAAAACTAATATATTTCAATATAAATACGCACAATAATAAATACATGTACTTTCTTTATTTCTAAAATGCGCATTTACAATTTTGCATTGACTAGAATTAGACACAATATATATATTGCAGATTGTTGGAATACATGTAAATATGTTTTGATTGGTAAGGTCAAATCAATCAAAAAAGAATGCATTTTATACTCAAATAATAGTAAATAAATAACATATACTAAATATATTATTCTGACAATATGGGAGAATCTACGACTCACATATCTTATAAGCCTGTTGGTAATTATTACAAACATAGCTAAACAACATGTTCTAACATTATTACATGTTAAAATTAAATATAATCTCTTTGGAAATAATGATAAATAAATAATAAATACTTAAATAAATAAATAAATATACATTAAGCCTAATAGGCTTCTATGTGGTCGTTCGTGGATCCGGGTGGATAATCCGGGGTGTAATCGTTTTCATTATGCTCCCTAAGAGACATTGGTCCGTTATTCACTAGCATCATAGGCATTCCATCAGAATGGATCATTTGTGGCATTGACATTGGAATATTAGGACTTCTCCTGCCGTAGGGTATGTTCATATTAGCTGGCATGCCTGGGTAGTGTCCGGGTAACCAAGTACCATCAGGGTGTGGTGCCCCCGAGGGTATAGGAACAGACCCCATGCTAGGCTCAGAGTCAAGCGGCTGAGAGCCGTACATATCTGCTGAGAGAGGAGACTCCATGCAGTCTAATTCGTCTGAAAACAAAATTATTTTTGATATAGTTATGCATATTTATAATGATTTATGTCAATAATAAAACACGATCGAATCAAATATTAATGTTGCACACTTTTAATTTATAATGAACCTAGTGCCGCAACTTTTGATCACATTTGTGCTTGGCGTACTCATAAAATATGCCTATTCATTTGCCAAATTGCTCTTTACCAGATACACTTTAATTACGCTATAACATGTAAGTTGGACGTATTAAGACAGTATATATAGAACGCCATTAGTTTTTCCAGAATGTCCGCTGCTCATTTGAGTGTAAGGTTAAAACAACCAATAACAATTGAATCCGACTAACTGTTTGACGCATTAACGTGATAAATCGGCAGAAACACATAAATATAGCTTCCTTTTAAAAGTAATCAACCCAAGCAATCAATAGAATCTACTTACTTTGGTATGACAAATCGACATGACAATCATCGTTTGTCCCGTCCTCACTTGTCAAATCATCTAGATCCTTTCCACCTTTCATTTGGCGATAATATGGATTCCAACGGTTTCTTCCCGCGTCCTTCTTCAGTCGTTTTTCCTTGGCACGGCGATTTTGAAACCAAACTTGAACTACCCTCATGTCTAACCCAGTCTCTGCGCTTAGTTGCTCGCGTACATGCCGGGCAGGTTTAGGGCTTTCATTGTATGCTCGTTTCAGGTTTTCTAACTGCTTCGCCGTTATAGTTGTCCGTGGACGTTTGTTTGCTGCATCTAAATCGAATTCTGAAAATGAAATCGTATTTGATTTATGTCCGAACAGTTAAAACCACATTAGACTATACTTAGGGCTATATCAATTCATTATTTATCCATCATTCTTCATTTTGATCAAACCAGATATCTCACTTGAAAGATGAGAAAGTCATTTGGCTTGCAATTCTAAACATTTGATAATATATCTAAGATTTACAGAGATATGCTGCAACTAGGCCAATCATTTTACTTACCTAATTCACCTCGTGCCTTTGCAGCCTCGTAATCGTTTTTGCAGACGAGTTTCCGGTCCTCCATTAGGTAAAATTCATCCCCAGTATTCAGTTCATGCTTACATAGTTCACAGGCAAAACAATTCAAATGATAGACATAGTCTTGTGCGCGTCGAACAACTTGCGTAGGTGGGATACCCTGGTCACATCTTGCGCATTTAGTACCAAAACGTCTGAAATAAATTTGAAAATGTTTACATTTTAAAACAAGATGCTATCTCTCGGGGCTGTCTCTTCCCGCCTTCCTGGTGAATTTTGCTTGCATTCACGTTAACAAAGTTTAGCAAGACAAAAATTGACTTTACATCTTCAAAACATTGTCATACCAATTAAATGAAAACTGAAAAGCTAAATCATAATCACTTTTGCTATTTATCATTATACATGTGCATGCCTATATACCAGAAGACGCATAGATTAAAATAATTTATAATTAGGTTCAAAATTTGTTACAACGGTGACATGGCTGTTCAGTGTTCATGAGTTATATTTCCATTATTTAGAAAACGTCTGACAAAGGGCAGTGAGGCAGTTCCCTTGCCTGCCTCAGGCCTGGCTACGCCCAGACGCCCCTGTACGGATTGATATATATTTGTCCTTTCAATGAATATTGCATCTTGAATAATTCAGGAGGTGGATTCTCAATCATTTATGGAATGGATATTTATGGATAGCGAATGATGCAAATGATCCTAAACCAGGAGGTCACTTACACAGTCAACTTAGTCATAAATCCACTAATATGGGCACTTAGTTGATTAAAACAGTCCGAGAAACAGATCATGAAAATAGTTCTGCATGCACTTGTAATGTATGATACAATTAGACCCTACTATTCATCAAGGTGATGACACGTTTCAGTCATCATATCTGGGGAGTATTCAAATTAAAAATCATGCGAACGTTGTAAGAAACGTTTCCGAAATAATTTTAAAAAACATCGATTTTGGGATTTCGCTCAGAGACTCAACCTTTATACTTCTCAACAATAATGGGATGAGATTTTTCTTTCAAATATTTTAAAGTATGATTTTAGTTTGTTATACAGTTATATATCTTCTACAACCATTTAAAAATCTTTCTTTTTTATGTTGAAATATGCATATGCTTTAGTTATATTAAATTGGTCTAGGAATTTACATATCCATACATCTGCTAGCCATAGTATTGATTTGTACAGGAAGTTTTCTTCATCCGCCTGGCCTTCACTGACCACAGACTTCGCTCGCAGATGAAGACGCAACAGATGTAGCGCATTATACCTACTGGTATGCACATAGACCTGCATAATACTATAAGGATGTAGATATTTAAGTATAACAGAAGTGATAAAGTTAATCACCGAATGAAAAATATGAACAATTGAGCACAAGCTCGGAACTAGATCGGACCCACTAGATGACAACAGATCAAAAATTGAACACACGCCTTCCAGCTATCTTTAGCGCAGATATTCTCTTTTAAGAAGCGATGTCAAACGAGTGTAGAAAATGGAATCCCCTACGCTAGCGCCCAGGCCCACTTACAAAGTATATCGGGCAACAACTTAACGCATTTTCTACTTAAGCCTTGAACTAGGTCCTTTTCTTCTTTGCATTATTTTACAATATTTCAAAAATAAGATCTGCACCTACCTGAAAAAATCTTCCTTGCAGAAAACACTGTCGCCCTTCGAGAAGCATTTGTCACTGAGGGGTGCCGAGCAATCGCTGCATTGTAAACATTTCGAGTGCCAGTTCCTGTCCAACACCTTTAGGATAAACCTGTCCAGGATAGGGTCCCCACAACCTGCACACTTTGGTATTGCTGCTGAAAACAGTAAAAATAATATTCAATTAATATTATTAATTAAGTAATATTAATTAAGTAAGACTGTAGATTATGCGATGCTTATTTGTATTTGTTTATTTATTTGTTAATTTATTTATTATGTTCATTTATTTCATTTGTAAATGTATCATGTATTTAATAATACAATGTTAAATAATACATTATTCCAATCATAAAAAATTAACATTATGTCAAACATATTTTATGTAAAACTATATGTACATATACATATTAATACATTAAATGATTTCATGTGTAAAACACAGCTATTATATTTCAGGTTATTGTAAATGTCAAGAAATAAGGGGCGGCATAAATTCTTTGTACCGACTTTCGTAAATACTAATTAATTATAGTCAAAATAAATACGCGTGTACACGAGTTCGATCCATAATATCTGGTTAATACAAACGTGATATTTACATAAAATATATAAGCTAACAACCTTTTTGCCAAGGTGAATAAATAGATAGTAATTAATTATTTAAGCATTAAAAATAAATAAAAGTGTAGATTATAACAGAATAATATAGATATAAATATAGCGTAACAATTCTAAATAGTTTTATAAACTTTGTTTCTTGAAAACCTTTGTAACTCTTCCCCATAGAGATTATGGTTGCTAAATTCAATAAACCATTTTTGTTTGTTTTGGAAAATTACCCAATTCAAATATATCATAAAGTTATTAGTGCGACCGTAATTGGGTATCATTCGGAGGCAAATAGTCAATTGTAGTGCTCTATTGTATTTAGACATAGCTGTACTTCAGGGGAATTCTCTTGAGGTTTCATAGCTAACAATACAAACTGCGTGAATTGTTTGTTCGAAGCCTCAAAACAATGGGTCCGGGTTTAGAAAAATCTGTCCCGGAATTATTCGAAAATGTCTGAATCTATACTTTTATTGATGCGCTACTAGATTTATTCATCGACATGTTCTCATTTGTTTTACGCCAAATGTCCTCGTATAACTTTTACATGACACCGTGCTACTTCAACATACCTTGTTTCAATTACATTGGCATGCATTTTTAATTTTTCATATGAACGGTAGTGATGAAAATGACTCAACCATTTGCAATTTTTTTTGATAATTAATAAATCTACAAAAACGAGCAATCTGTACATTTATTACAACCGACATTAACGTCAATTTCCACTTTGAGTTATTTTGAAAATAAAACTATAAAAAAATATTTAAAAAAGTTAATTTGTCAGTTAATTTTAAGTTGAATATGTCAACGATAAAAGTCAAGAAGTTTTATTGGATACAACAACACATTACGGTTTTCAACACACATTTTTTCCTTTGCACAAACAAGGATTCTTCCATGATGTATTAAACAAAAACAAAGCATCAATTATGAAATTGTTTATATTTTTATTCTCGATCAATATAATCAAATTCCAGAGAGAAATTAATAACAATTGCTATCTCTCACATTTTTTGCTTTAAATAATTATTAAAATGCGCATTTAAACTATCGCAATTTACCCGCGCGATTGTTTATTTACACAATGTGTGATCACAATATACTATATAATTATTTCCCCTACCTGTAATGTCTCCATTATAAATATCATTTTCTATACAAAGATCCTTGAGCCGATCTTTCATCATCATCTAGATAATTTGTGAAATAAATCCGAGGTGTCCGCACTTCGTAATCCTCAACGTACTCTTGGATCCGAGGACAATATTTCTTAATAGCGGGGTTGTGTAGCGGCAGTGATAGCGTCTCTGTGTTAAACAGGTATTGGTGGTTGATGCTCCGTATAGTAAAGGTTCGTAGTTAATCTGCTAGTTTCACCGTGGTAGCTTTAATTTTATATCTCCAGAGACAATGAAAGGATCATGAATTTTTAATTAGGTATAGTCGAAACAAGCTTTATACCACATGTTGTTATAATATAGCAGGTCCATACGGTCTGCAGCTGATTTTCGCATGTTAAGAATTATTTTGTCCATTTTGTGTATTCACTATATAGTGCTATCGTTTGTTATATTAAGTTGTGATTGCAAAAATGACACCAGGGGTTATGTAATTTGTTCGCTATTTAATTGTAATTCGAACATCACCTGACAGCGATTGTGTTCTTTTATGCTTTTAAAACACAGTAGGTACATGACGTGAAAGATAGTTAGCTTACAACATGTGGGGTTGTGGAACGTGCCAAAATGTGCTGATGTGGCCAATAAGCGTTCCTGGTATGTTCAAAATATTTATAAATGCCAACCCATGACACTTCAACAGTGAAAAGTGGTGTTAGCGGCGTTTTCAGAATTACGTCACATAATATGGTATCATTTTTAGGATATTTCACCTGACACCTCGGGAGGGGGGGGGGGCAATATCCATTAACCAGCCTATAAGAGTCCCCGGGGAATGTAACACTCGCTGATCAACGGATCGTATCCCAGAGGACGAACTTGTGTTTGCTCATCTTGTGTTTATAGAAGGCTGATATACCATGTGTCCTCTGGTTTGTTGGGGTGACCAGATGGCGGAAAGCCTCTCGAGATGGTGTCGCTTTATTCACCGGGAATCGATTGCTCGAAGATAACACTTCAGAAAATACAACCCTCGTTTTGCTTGTCATTTAAAAACTTTTAACGACAATACAAACTATCAAAAGATATAGGATTTTTTTATTATTTCAATTAATATACATTCATCTAGACCTATAATCTAGGACAAGGGGATTAAAAATGTAGATCTTGGTTAACCAAATGCGCTACAAAAAGCTTTCCATGTAGGTACAATAGCGAATCAGTAGCAATTTTCATTTTTTACAGAACGGAATGTTATAATAGCCATGGGTGAAATATTAACAAAGAATGCGAACGTCATTTTTTGCAAAATAACGCGTTGAGAGATTTTTGGTTGGTTAAATAAAGTGATGAAACTTTCACAATCCCCATGCCTATCCAATTGCAGACATTTACTCATTGAATCTGTTATTTTAAACCATCGCCTGGATGACCGATGCGAGACATATTTCTGTAAAAATAATGGACTCTTGACGAAGGTAGCGCGCGTTTGTCACGTGCCTACAACCAGTTAGGCACGATTTCATCGACAATTACAATCAGACGGGAGATACAACTTGACAGTATGACTTGTCTGATTTGACCTTCATGAAAAGGTCGATGAGGCCAATATATTCAAACACTTGTAGTCATTGGTTGTCTTCATAGTTGCACGACCTATAATATCGCGCATGAATACAAAAATGATATAGCATTCATGTTAAAAACGACATTTGAATTTTAATGGCCTAATTAAATTGTCAAAGAAAGAGAAGTACATTTAAATTAGAGATTTGAAAAATTTATCATGAAAACTGAAAAATATTTTCCACGTTGTTAAAAGTTAAGCTTGTTTAGTAATTAATTGAATATACAATTGTATATATCATTAAGAATTGAATCCAAATATATAGGTCCTTGAAAGTCTACAACTGGATACACTCCCCTACATTAGTTTGGCAACCCTAACTCCTTCATTGAACTATGTGTTAAAGCCTCTTTACATTTGAATTTTTATTTACATAACGTGAGACAAACACTAGTTTACTTTTGATGGAAATGTAACTTGACTTCATTTCTAATGCCTCCAAATTTTACCAATTTTTTCCCTCGCTTACAATAGGTCAGCTTACTTTATGAATACTAAAGTTACAGAGCTTCAAAGTAATTTTTGAAAATCATTTTTCGCCCCTGTGTTATTATTTCAATGGAAGGAGTTTATGAAAAATAATTTTGACTTTGACAAGACATTTAACTTTTTCAAGCTGAAGAAACGTATCAGTTTTATTATTGAATAAAGTTAGCAAATACAATTTACTACCTAACCTGTATTTTTTGCAAGAACTCGGATGGATGAATATTCTGTCATATGACCTGCGGCAAACCTACCATTTCCCATTGGTTTACATGGGAATATCGATTTTCAAAAATTCATCAGATTTATCATCAATTTTCGACCTATTGTAATTGAGAAAAAAATTGGAAAATTTTGAGGCATTGGAAATGAGGTTAAGTTACATTTCTATCAATAGTATAAGTGTTATAAGTGTCTCACGTTATGTAAATAAAAATTCAAACATAAAGAGGCTTTTACACATAGTTCAATGAGGGAGTTAGGGTTGCCAAACGTATGGAGGGGAGTGTACCTTATTCCGATTGTATCCCGGATGCTCTCTATATTGTATCAAATAACATTTGTGGTAACGTTCCTAAATATAGCCTAACTTTATTAAATATCCGACGAAAAAAAGTTTAAATACGGAATTCACGGATATTTACAAGTCACTGTCGTTTAACCTCGTTGAGTGAGATGCACTTCAAACCGCTAGCACGAATACATCAATTATTTTACTTTGTTAACAACACTTCTATTATATTAGATAAATTAACCATATTATTTCCATGGGTAACTACTTATTAAATAAATAGACCAATCTATCGCAAGTATTAATTCTCATTGGGGACAACTTTGTGTTAGACGTTTCAATTGACACTTTTACGTCATGAAAAATAGAATAAGCTATCACAGCACTACGCGATATGATGACACAACATCCCCACGTATGTATATGTACCAATGGAAAGCCAATGGAAAGCCAAATGGACGCTTGAGTCTAAAATACGGCTGAATAGTTTCTTTGTTAACAGCATCTGATATATAATTAATTAATAATCAAAGTAATAAAAATGACCAGTATTAAACTATTATTTCTTTATGACAACTCAAAAAAGCATTCGTGTTAAAAATAATTACAAATAAAAACAATTAGCGTTTTGGATTGATAATTAAAAATTAACGCTATCTGAAGACCTCAAGTTTGGAATTCATAAGCAAAAGTAAAAAGGGGTGGGCGATTTAAAATTGAGTCGATGATTTAGAAAATTCGCTCGGGGTTGTCGCGTGCAGTAAATCAGAAGCCAAATAACTCCTCAACCAAATAATTGTC